AAACTGTTTCAGAGAGTGAACATTAAGGAGGTTGTGTTCGCTGACGATAGGCTTAAAGACAACTCTTATTGGGCAAAGGTTCTATATGATCTCCATTTCTCCCTTTATTCAAGTTGACGTCTTTGTGTCGTACATGATGGTGCTCATATTGGTTATGGGGCTAAAGCTCAAGAGGTTCTAGGCAAGTCAGGGGAAGGTAAAGCTCATCAGCCTTTGCACTAAACTAAAGAAACTGATTTAGGTTTCATGTTTTGATCTCTGAATGTTTCGTTTTTGTTTTAGGGGTTTCCGTCATGAGAAGACGAGGAAGAAACGAGGAAGCTAAAGGGGAGTAAAGATCGATCTTGAGTCTCATTCGGTTAAGTTTGATTACTGAGATGAAGAGTGATACGATGATTGATAAGCAACACATTGCCTATTTTTCATTGTTTCCTTTCCTGATGTTTGCAATTTCTTATATTTTGCTTTCTCTCCTTTACCACTAACAGAACGGATATTGCTTCATCTATGTCCCACACAAATTTTGGGTTCGTCGATGTCCTTTGAATGATAAAGATTCATATATAATGTCCTCGTACTTTTAAAACAAAAGTTGTAGAACAATATACCCGCGCGTAGAGCGGGTTCTCTCCTAGTTAGTCATAATAAGTAAGGTACTTTTTAAAAACATATTTTCTGTAAAAAACATACAACAGCCCTATCCTCACATTTCTTAAATTAATCCCTTAATTTTACTATTTATTACACTTTTTAATTTTTTATATCCATTAAAAGCATTTGGCAAACTTTTGTACAATCCAATATTAGTCTAATACATATTTTAGTTGTTAATTTCCTTTTTAATTTTATTTATTAGTTTAGCTTTTCCAGCTCTGAGTTTATGATTTATACTTAATTTATTATCTTTTTTTTTTTAGTTTAATTATTTTTCATTCAATTCCATTTAATAAATTCATCTCTTTATTTTTAAATCACTGTTTTGATAGTTAAAAGTCTCATATATTCCAAACTTTTTTTTTCATATCCTGTTTAATTAATAACCGCGTTTCCAATTCCCGGTTCCATTGTTTTGGTTTGTTACGGTTCAGTTTTAATATCACATTGAAATTAGAAATGATTCGTTGTTTTTCTTCATTTGCCGACAACAAAATCGATAATATGTATGAAATATCTTATAGGGCTTTCACCTGCGCTGTGCGGTTTTGTATTTTAAACCGATTTAAAATATTTTTTTAATTAAGCAAATTTTTTTAGATATACCAATATCTTGTTGAGATCAAATCTTGGCATACAAAAATGTTGTTTAGATCAAATCCCGGTAACGAAAATGTTTTCGTCTATCAAATAACCAGAAATTATTTGAGGTTATTCAAATCATCAATTTTGTCTTTATAAATCTTTTTTCAAATAAAGTTTTACATTAAACACTATTTTTCAATTCTTTTTTTTATATTTATAGTGTCAACATACATGTGTGTTTTGTGGGAAAATTATTTCTTTTATCCAACTTTTGTAAGTTTGTATGCCTAGTAAATTCAACTAAGAACATAAATCAAGAAAAAATGATTATGTAGAATGGTTGATGTAAATGATCTTGTAGTTAATTAAGATTATCGATTAAGATTTAAAGTTACGCCACATAAGATCGAACAAATAATAATCTTAATTGTTACAAATATCTTTAAAATTATATTGATATAGAGAATATTTTAAAGTTAAATATTTTCCAATTTTTTTTTCCACATATTGGATTATAGACTTTTCAAATTATTCTTACATACAATTTTCTTTTTCTTTGTTGTAATTTGATATTCGAATTTCTTCATTTTCGGAAGTATTTTAGTAATAAACTATTCTGAAATATAAAAAGAAAAATAATTAATTAATTTTAGTGATGATGTGCAATAATACTATTGGTTGTTTAAAAGTCTATATACTTAATTTATTTATCTCTTACATATTTTAAAATTAGAAATTTTCTTAATCATATTGTTTAACACTAATGTTGTTTAAAAGTTAAAAAAAATTCTTTAACACTTGTTTTTAATTTGCTTATATTATTTTAATTTTTTAATCTTCACATATTAATACTAATATTGCAGATCGTTAAAACATTATATGCAACATATGATATCTATATGATTTGAATAAAATATTAAATAATTTATTTATTTTCTATATTTTTTTTTTTTTGGCAAATGTTCATGAATTATAGTTTTTTAAAATGCACACAAACTAAACTTTACACCCACCAATATAAACCCTATACATTCTAAACTTTAAACCTTCAGGAACCCCTCCATAAATAGTACACCATAACCACATATTATATAATTTTGTTTATTTTTTTTACTTTTATTTGAAGTATTTGTTGTATAAAATTTGCAATGTTGTTATTTGTACATTTTAATATTATTTCCATCATTTGTCGTCATCATCTTCCTTCTTCTCCCATGGTTGTAAACTTGTAATACTCTGTTATTAGGATCTCAGTTTGTGCTTTCCTTCGCTAAAATTCAAGGTTTCAGTTATTCTTACCCCTCTGCTGCCAAACTTCCGAAACTTAATTCAAATCCGTCAAAAAATATCAGGTGATATGTAATGTGTAGTTTGATATGGAAAAATTTATGTTTTTTTCAGTAACTTCCGTTCTTTATTTTTCTTATTGCTCATGTTTCCTTACTTGTCTTCTTGTGGCGCAGATGAAAACTCTTCAAGATAGCTATTGCTTTTAAATTTCTTTTATTTATTTTATTGATGTTTAAAAAAATATATAGTTGAGTTTATTATCTCAAACATCGTTAAAGTTGAAAACTCTTGTGTATTAGATACATTGAAAGATCTTATTATTCACTGTTCACGTAGAAAACTCGCAGTATAAACCTAATTTTCTTTGGAGTTAGGATTGTGAGATTATTAGGATCACGCCATTGAACATGTGTTTTATCTTGGATTCTTAACTCTTGACTTTTTGAATGGTAAGACTAAGGGTCTAAATGGTAACTGCTGAATGTTGTTGAATGCGGAATCTGACTGAATAAAATGAAGACTTTTTGCGGAATCTGGCTTATTAGTTTATAATATGAATGGTAACAGCTGAATGTTGCTGAATGCGGAATGCAGAATAAATAGTTGAAAAATTATTTATGTAGCAAAAGAATAAAGTATTTACCTAATTAAACTAATAATATAAAGTTTTTTTTATGAAATATCTAAATAATAGATTAATCAAAATAAATTTTATAAAATTTAAACATTTTAGGAATTTGGATTCATATTAAACATAAAAGTTTTAAAATATAAAAATAAACATTTAACAATACAATGTTTTTGATATTACCAATTCATTAATGAAAATCATTTCATATTTCATATGTGCCTCTTAAAATAAATTAGTAAAACAAAGAAATTATTTAAAATATGAAAACTCTCATAAATAGACCAGAAAAACTTTTGGTTGGACAAAAGTGACAATTTACAGTAATATTTTTCTCCAAAATAGACAAAAATTCAATATGAAAAATGATTCATATTCTTTTCGTAAATCTTAAACCCAAAAATATGAACTACCAACCCATAATCTTACTTAATCCTAAATTCAAACTCAAAACCCTAATTTGAGAAAAATTGAATCCAAACATAAGATTTTAATTTTATGTCATTTATTTAGAAGAAACATATATTTTTCTCAAAAAATTGTTTAGTCCATTATTGAAAAAAAATATGTTGCCATTTTTGTCCAGCTAAAGATTTTGGACAATTTGTTGTTTTTTTTTGTTTCTTTTCAATTATATACATTGTTTTTTTCAGTTCTATCTATAAAAAAGTGAACTGCATTGTTTTGTGTAAAATCTTCAATTATTGGAAAAAGATAAAATTCTTCACATTTTGTCTTTTTCTCAAATTCAACTGGATTCAGCAAATGTTGACTGGTACATCATAAACAGTATTCAGCATCATTCCACTCAATTCAGCAATTCTACAAAACACCAGTTAGGCCCTAAGCCTGGGATTTCGGTTAACCAGTCGGTTTCGGATCGATTAAATCGGGTTTTGGGTATTCGGGTTTGGAAATTTAGTAACCGTTCGGGTATTTGGTCGGGTTCGGGTCGGATATGGGTTTGAAATTTCGGGTTCGGGTCAGTGTTCGGTTAAACCGAACATTTTCTTTCTCAATCTCTCTCTTTCTCTCTCCATCCCTCTCCATCTCTACTGAGTAGTGTCTCTTAGTGGAGGAAGAATCAGATTCAGAGCCAAATCAAGCTCGAGAATGGGATATGGAGCTGGAAATTTCGTGAAGGTTATTCTCAGGAACTTCGATGTTCTTGCTGGGTAATGTTCAGTTCCTTCATTCCAAACCAAATCTCTCTTCTCTCCATCTAAAGTTTCTTAATTGTCCCCTAAAATCTCCTTCCTTTTGCAAATCCGAATACCCACTGTGTTTTTTATCTGTACAGCCAACGCTTTATCGTAGAGGGGGAGAGAAGATGAGAGGATTAAGCTTCAAGAGGAGAGAAAGGGGGCTGGCCGATCTCAGATCTATTTATTTATTTTTTATTATTATTTTTTTTAATGATTGGTTTTCGGTTATTTATTCGGTTATCGGGTATAAATCGAACCGAACCGAACCCGATCTCAGATTAAATCATAACCGATCGGTTATTTTGGCAAACCCGAACCCGACTCGGGTCGGAAGCGGGTTCGGTTTTCGGGTTCAGGTTAAATTCGCGGGCCTAGGTAAGACTATAGCTTGTACTCCAAGGCATTTCTGCAAAAGGGAAGTACTAAACCTTCTTTTGCTAGCTTCAGATGAGCTTCGAATAATTATGGCAGTTTTCCACGGTTTATCGTTAATTACATGAGAATATGTCATCTGTTTGCTTCATATAGCTGTGAAAAGGAAAGGTGAGTTTGGTAAAGTCTACAAATTAAAGGAACTCTACCCTTGAAGAGACATATAGCTGTGAAAAGACTGGCCCACGATCGATGCAGAGCAAGGAATGAAACAGTTTGTGGCAGAAGTTGTAACTATGGGAAATCTACAGCATGGGAACTGGGTTCCACGTCTTGGATATTGCAGAAGGAAAGGTGAGATACTTTTGCTCTCTGAGTACATGCCTAATGGAAGTCTTGACCAGTACGTGTTTCACGACCAAAACCCATCTCCTTCATATTTTTTTTGTTAAAGGATCTTCAACCCATCTCCTTCATGGTTGCAAAGGATCTCTATTCATAAAGACATTGCTACGGCTCTTAGTTACTTGCATAAGAGATAAGAGATTATTTAGGATATCGTCTCTTTCTTCTTCTTATTATGATTAATCTTGTGTAAACCGTTCAGGTTTCAAGAGGCAGATACACCAAGGAGCTATCTTCATCGGAAGCATAATCCCAATCAAAAGAAAAAGTTTTGCATCCTCAGCAACCTCGCTTCTCACGTCGGTGACTCCATTCAATAACTTGCCTCCACCAAAATTTATGCTTTGCAATAACGTTTGTTCGGTAATCAAAGATGCTTTTTCTGTATACATCACCACGAAATCAACAATTGTGGATATTGTTTACTCTTTGGTTCACATCGCTGACTTAAGTTAGTCATTGCATGCAAAGACCAACTTTCATCGATTCCACATGAACAAACTCAAAAAACAACCTCATCCGCTTGTTATCGTTTTCCACCACATGAATAATATCTACAATTTATATGAATAATATACAAAGATTGACGTATATTAATAACATGTTAGTAAACAACTTGCGTTTTTAGCTAGAACAGAATGTTCATATTAAGTAGGGAAGAGAGCCAACATAATTCTTGCAGCCCAAGAAATACACTAATTAACTTGTTAATCCTTCTAATATCTTGTTGACCTTGAATCTCTGCGAGTTTCTCATTGCCTAGCGTTTCCCTTATTGATTTTCATAAACCGTTTAATCTGCTGTTTGATTTACTTTGTTACACAATCAAAAACCCTAAATCATACTTGTTTTCTAGCTATATTAGACTTGCAATACTCGAAGTGTACTTATCTGCTCCTTGTGTTCGATACCCGTTTACTACTTCTGACCTGTGCACTTGCAGAATCAGGGATAGGAAAAGGGAAGACCTGATCCCGCGATCAAGTTTTTGGCGCCGTTGCCGGGGAGCAATACAGCTACCTTCGAGTTCCCAACTATAGTCTAGCCTAGAATTTCGTTTTTCCTTTTTGTTTTTGCAAATTTTCAACTTTTGTTTTTCCTTTTTACTGTTTTCTATTTAAAGAATCTTGCCTCTACCCTTTCAGGTACTAAGCTTGAAAGAAGGACTCTAACATGAGTGATTCAGACGATCAAGAGGAGAGAGATAACTTGGCCGCGAGAGAGATCGCGCTGGCCGAGCAACACGAAGATCCCCGGATCCGAATGCCGCGCACGATCGCGCCAATGATGATATGCGAGAGATAGAGCGGACACAATGAAGAAGTCATGGGAGACTTCGATTCCAATCCAACACTACTAATCAATCGGAATCCCATCCAGCCGCCACTTCCTGAAGGAAGAAGCTATGAGATTTCGCCGGAGATCATTGGTTTGGTGAAACAAAACCAGTTCCAAGGAAAACCCCAGGAGAATCCTTTGGAACATATTGATGCTTTTGAAGAAATCTGTGGCACCATCAGTGCAGGAGGTGCACCCAAGGAGTACTTAAAGTGCAAACTATTCTCTTTCACTTTGACAGGGAAGGCTTTGCGCTGGGTTAAGTCTCTTCCAGCTCAATCCATAACCACATGGAAAGAGTACAAGGTGGCATTCCTAGGTCACTTTTTCACAAAGCAGAGAGCAAACTTGTTGAGAGAAAAGATCTCTAGTTTCCAACAAGGGCCGGTGGAGCCTTTTCATGAAGCATTGGAGCGCTTTAAGGACTATACAAGAGAGTGTCCTAATCATGGACTATCTGATGGCAGTCTATGGAACATTTTCTACAGAGGAATAAGTGGGAAGTGTCGATTTTCTCTTGATACAGCCAGCAATGGAAATTTCATGACCAAGACAGTTACTGAAGCAAAGATTTTGATTGAAAATCTAGCCTCAAGCGACAGTGACAACTTCATTGGGCATGAGAGAGCAGTGAAGGCCATAAATTCTGATCCATACAGAGATGGATACAGCGAGATCAAAGCCATGATGGCTGAGATACTGAGAAACCAAGGAAGAGAAGTGGAGAGACAAAGAGAAGCTTATAGAGTTGAATCCACAATAATTCAAGATTACTTTGGAGATTTGATTCCAAGTTTCAAGAAGAAGTAAACTTTGTTGGAATAGATGGATTGGCACATGGAGAAGAAGCTTGGAAAGGGAGCATGATGTTTTTACTCAAGAATCACCCAATGAGAAGAGGGATGTTCATGGAGGAAGAAATTATCAGCAACCACCTCACAAGAGAAGAATGGAGCCAAGGAGCAACTTTTGAAGATTTGATAACTTTCATCAAGAGTTCTCATAGAGAGCACACAGCCTTGATTGATGAGAGATTGGAGTCAGCCTTCACGAGATTGAATGAGAAGTTGGATTCAATTTCTTCTTTCACAAGAGACTTGGATCTTAGAGTTGCCAACATAGCCAGCTCTATTAAGAGAGAAGAAGGTGCTACCAGGAAAAGTGGAAATCAATCCAAGGAGAGCAGCTGTAGCAGCTATCACTCTTAGGAATGGAAAAGGGTATGAGCCGCCAGCATACCCAGATCAAGAGGAAGCAAAGCCGCCAATCAAGAAGAAACCAATGGAGTATGTCATTATTGGAGATGGACTGAACCACCTAAGGAAGTCCATGTCAGAATAGAACCAGGAACTCAGGAGGAAGTGGAGAAGCCACCTGAAGAACCAAGAGTGTATGAGCCAAAGATCCCATACAGAAATGTTCTTTCTCAACCCAAGAAGGAGAAGGAGCAAGCAAAGCTCAAGGATCTTGTTAGCCAACTTTCAGTAAGGTTACCTTTCATTGATGCCTGCCAAATAATTCCATCTCTCAGGAAATATATGAAGGCCATACTCACAAGCAATGTGAGTCTTGAAGAAGGAGCAATGATGATTACAAAGGAGTGTAGTGCCATACTTCAGAATCGCATGCCAGAGAAGCTGAACGACCCAGGAGTTTTGTTTTGTCTTGCAAGATCGGTTCTACACACTTCCATAGAGCACTTTGTGATTTGGGTTCTAGTGTGAACCTAATGCCTTACTCAGTGGCCAAGCTATTGGGCATCACTGACTTCAAACCTACAAAGATATCTCTAGTCTTTGCAGACAGATCTGTTCGCCGCCCTGTTGGTGTTATTATGGATGTTCCAATCATGGTTGGAGATTGCTACATCCCTGCTGATTTTGTAGTTCTTGAGCTGGAACACCAACCTAAAGACCCTCTTATCTTGGGAAGGCCATTCCTAGCTACTGCAGGAGCTATAATAGATGTCAAGAATGGAAAGATTGACTTGCATCTTGGAGATATAGTGATGAATTTCGAGGTAAACAAGTCCATGGAGAAACCAACTGTAGATGGTCAAGCTTTTTGGATTGGAGAGCTCGCAGAGACAAGAGAAGAAGTGCTGGATGAACTCCTTCTTATTGATCCCTTGGAGCTAGCTTTGACAAAGGCTGAGAATGAGTATGGATACATGGAAAGAGAAGCTCAATGCTTAGTCAAGTTCATGGATTCAAGGAAGCTTATAAGGAGCTATAGCTTATATGGACTTAGAGAGAGAAGAGGAAGAGCCAGACATTGACAAGGATCAGGAAATATCACAAACCAAAGTTAAGTTCGACCCATGGTGCCCACTTAGAGCTCCAAAAGCCGAGCTCAAACAACTCCCAGTTGGTCTAAGGTATGAATATCTTGGTCCTAATGAAACATATCCTGTTATTGTTAATGCTGCACTAACAAAAGAAGAGACCGCTTTACTTGTTCGCGAACTGAGAAAGCATAGAAAGGCTCTTGGTTACTCTTTGGATGATTTAACAGGAATCTCACCTGAACTATGCACACATCGCATCATCCTGGAGGATGAGTCTAGTTCTTCATTGAACATCAAAGGAGGCTAAACCCAAACCTAAAGGAAGTTGTCAAGAAGGAGATAATGAAGCTATTGAAAGCTGGAGTGATTATCCAATATCAGATAGTGCATGGGTCAGCCCTGTACATGTCGTGCCAAAGAAAGGAGGGATCACAGTCATCAAGAATGAACATGATGAGCTCATTCCAACAAGGACAATCACAGGACACAGAATGTGTGTCGACTACAGGAAGCTGAACTCCTCTACGCGCAAGGACCACTACCCCTTGCCATTCATAGACCAGATGCTTGAGCGCCTTGCCAATCATCAATACTACTGTTTCTTGGATGGATACTCAGGATTTTTCCAAATTCCAATCCACCCAGATGATCAGGAGAAGACTACCTTCACTTGTCCCTATGGCACATATGCTTATAGGAGAATGCCTTTTGGATTGTGCAATGCTCCAGCTACATTCCAAAGGTGTATGATGTCCATATTCACAGATCTAATAGAAGAGATTATGGAGGTTTTCATGGATGATTTCTCAGTATATGGTTCTTCCTTTGAATCATGTTTGGGAAATCTTGGAAGAGTGCTACAGAGATGTGAAGACAAGCACCTAGTTCTAAATTGGGAGAAGTGCCACTTTATGGTTAGAGATGGAATAGTGCTTGGACATAGAATCTCAGAGAGAGGCATAGAAGTTGATAAAGCCAAGATTGAAGTCATGACAAACCTTCAGCCGCCCAAGACAGTTAAAGATATCAGAAGCTTCCTAGGACATGCTGGATTCTACAGGAGGTTCATTAAAGATTTCTCGCAGATAGCAAGGCCGCTAACACGCCTTTATGCAAGGATATTAACTTTGAGTTCACAGAGGAGTGTCACAAGGCTTTCACTAAGATCAAAGATGCATTGGTCAGTGCGCCAGTGGTTCAACCTCCAAACTGGGAACTACCTTTTGAGATAATGTGTGATGCAAGTGATTATGCAGTAGGAGCAGTGCTTGGGCAAAGAAAAGACAAGAAGCTACATGTGATCTATTATGCCAGCAGAACACTTGATGAGGCACAATGCAAGTATGCCACAACAGAAAAGGAGCTTCTAGCTATTGTCTTTGCATTTGAGAAATTTCGATCATACTTGGTGGGATCAAAAGTTATAGTTCATTCTGATCATGCAGCATTAAGGTATCTCTATCCAAGAAAGATGCCAAGCCAAGATTGTTGAGATGGATACTACTTTGCAAGAATTTGATCTTGAGATCAAGGATAGAAGAGGAGCAGATAATGGAGTAGTGATCGCGGGATCAGGTCTTCCCCTTTCCTATCCCTGATTCTGCAAGTGCACAGGTCAGAAGTAGTAAACGGGTATCGAACACAAGGACCAGATTGCACACTACAAGCTATGAGTTTGAGATCGAGCTAGGGCAAAAGTATAAGTTGGTTGAGTGCAGAGAAAGTAAAGCATGCAAGTAATAAAAGTGAGAATTCAATAGGAGAGAAAGGCTAAGCAATAGGATAGTCTTGAGATAAGCAATTCAAGAAGCATGAAATCAATCAATTAGGGTTACCGCACTTAGGTGCTAATCTAGAACTTGAAACACTATGGTATGATCATTCCACTGTCGAGGCTCCGACCCCTTTGTTAATCTACCTAGTCGCTAAACTTTTGGTATGTCCCTAGGTGATTAAATCAAGCATTAGTTCGATCAAGATCAATTGTTCACAACCTACAAGTAGATCAACTGTCGCAGTCTAAAAGAGATTGCCCACCAAATACTAGTTCAGGCGAATGATACAGCACTGTCGAGGCTCAAATCAACCTAAAGGCATATGCTAATTGGCCAGATTAACAACAAGCATTAAGTATAAGCAAAGATGGAGATTATAAGTAAAACCCTAATTGTGATCAATCATCAAGCATACATGAATGCTATCCTTTGACTTCCTATCACTTAACAAGTAAACTACTCAGACATAGAGAAGGAACACGAATTCATATTCATAAGAACAGAGATTCGAATCCTCTCTAGAAAGAGTAACAAGCAAGAACAAAGTAAAAGCAAGCAAAACTTTATTAAGATGTAAAATAGATTGTGGTCTCTCTCCTTCTTGAGTTACAAGGCTAAAAAGAAGTATTTATAATGCTCTAAGTATGAAAAGCGGCTAAACCTAATCTAGCTAGGTCGGCGCCGGCTTTGGGCTTGAATTGTGCGGATTGGGCTTCAAAAACGGCTTCGGGTCGACCGCGGCGTTCGGACGGTCGGTCGGGACGATCGGCCGGACAGTCGGGTCTTGGCCGAGTCGGAACGGTCGTGGCCGGATGATTCGGTCGGCCGGCTGGTCGGACGGATGGATTTGGCCGATGGTTTCTCGGCCGGACGCGGGCGTTCCCGGCTCGGACGGAGCGTTCGGCCGGTACGTGAGGGAGTTGCGCGGCCGCGAGGCGTTACTTCCCGGCTCGCGCGCTGGTCGTGCGCGGTGGGCGTGGCGTTGTGGCTTGGCCGACCGCGGGCTTAGTTTCCCGGGTCGTGATGCGTGATCGGCCGAGCGGTTTGGACTTTGGCCGAGACTTCAGTCGGACGGAACAGTTTTGGCCGAGCGCGGAACATTCGTTCCTCGGCCAGCCGGACTGCGCGTTCGGGCGCTGATTCTCGATATGGCCGTCTGGAGCAGTCTTCACTCTTTTGGCTATAACTCCTTTTCTACTCATCCAAATGAAGCCATTCCAGTTGCGTTGGAAAGTTAACTCAATCAGAGCACGCAGGGAACTGGTCTTGATGAAATCCATTGAGTAGATCTTTTTCTAGCTCCATCCAAAGTTGATGCAGGGGCATTGAACTGGTTTAGAGTCCAAATCTCTGTTTTGCTCCATAATGCACCTTTTTACCTAAAATGACTCTTTGCACTATAAATCCATAAAAACTACCTTTTAACACAAGAATCCACTAGAAAACCATTAGAAAACCATAGTAAAATAGCATAAAAAGTAGGTAAAATAGAGGTATATCAAGTAGTTGATCACCTTTCAAGGATGAGAGTTGAAGAAAACCTACCTCTTGATGATAGGCTACCTGAAGAAACAGTTTATGCAGCTGAAGCAAGCAATAAGCATGGACAACTAGCCATCACAGGCCAGGAACAAAGATCTCATCATCAAACACACCATGGTTTCGCCACATAGCAAACTTCCTTGCAGCTGAATACCCACCACCAAACTTCTTTGGCTACAGAAAGAAGAAATTCCTGCGTGATGTAAGAAGGTACTTACTGGGATGAACCTTACTTATACAAGAAATGTTCAGATGGAATGTTTAGAAGATGCATACCAGAGGAAGAAGTAGAAGGAATATTGTTTGCTTGTCATAGTTCTAGCTATGCAGGCCACTTTGCCACTTACAAGACAGTATCCAAGGTCCTACAAGCTGGATTTTGGTGGCCAACTATGTTTAAGGATGCTCATGCATTCATATCAAGATGTGATGCTTGCCAAAGAATGGGAAATATAAGCAAGAGGAATGAGATGCCGCAGAACTTTATACTAGAAGTTGAAGTTTTTGATGTTTGGGGCATTGACTTTATGGGACCCTTCCCAACCTCTTTTGGCGACCAATACATTCTAGTGGCAGTTGATTATGTCTCCAAATGGGTGGAAGCCATTGCCAGCCCTACTAATGACGCACAAGTGGTCATCAAGATGTTTAAATCCATCATCTTTCCAAGGTTTGGAGTGCCTAGGATAGTCATAAGTGATGGAGGTTCACATTTCATCAACAGAATCTTTGCCAACCTTTTGAAGAAGCATGGAGTCACTCACAAAGTTGCCTCTCCTTACCACCCTCAAACTAGTGGACAAGTTGAGATCTCAAACAGAGAACTCAAGAGCATACTTCAGAAGACAACAGGCAAGACAAGAAAGGATTGGAGTGCCAAACTAGATGATGCTCTATGGGCATACCGCACTGCCTTCAAAACACCACTTGGTACCACCCCCTTTCATCTTGTTTATGGTAAAGCATGTCATTTACCTGTGGAGCTGGAGTACAAAGCAGCTTGGGCTATTAAGGAGTTGAACTTCAACCTAAAGACAGCAGGAGAAAGAAGATTGATTCAGCTAAATGAGCTTGATGAGATTAGGCATCTAGCTTATGAGAATTCAAAGATCTATAAGGAGAGAACCAAAGCTTTCCATGACCGCAAGATCATCCCAAAGAACTTCGCGCCAAACGACCAAGTTCTACTATTCAACTCAAGGTTGAAACTCTTTCCAGGAAAGCTTCGCTCAAGATGGTCAGGACCATTCAGGATTAAAGAAGTTCGCCCCTATGGAGCAGTGGTACTATGGGACCCAATGGGAGGAGACTTTACAGTCAATGGACAAAGGTTAAAACCTTACCTAGCTTCCACAATACCACAGGAGACCACACTGGCTCTTGGCGATCCACCAGATCCTTAAGGAAGTGCCATACAGTCAAGCTAATGACTTTAAACAAAGCGCTGAATGGGAGGCAACCCATTGAAGGTCATTTCTTTTCATTTTCTTTCTTTAATTTTCTTTTTTTGAATATTACCTCTCACCTTAATGTGATTTGCTTTCACCGGGACGGTGCAAGTTAAGTCTGGGGGGAGTTTTATTGTGTTACTAATGCATTTTTCTTTCTTTTCTTATGTTTTATTACTTTGTTTCATGTTTTTCAAAAAGTTTTATTGAGTCAAAAACCAGTCCGGAAGTTATGAACTTGCTTTGAGAATTGAGAGTGTTGTGCTAACAATCCATGACCCTAGAGCAGAAACCAGCTAAAGGCACAAGCCTAACAGAAGCTCTTACAGTGGATCGACATGCTAGCTCAGCAAAATTTCTAAGGTAACCAAGCAATCTAGAGTTAACCTCACCTTAATCAATCTTAATTACTCTTGTCAAGGGGGTTGGCATACATGTCGACAGTTCCTTGCTTGATTTTCAATGAGATTTGTCTAATCTTTAAAGAGTTCTCCTCTCTCTCCCATCCCAAATGGTAAGTAATGTTTATGAGAAAAAGCTCAAAGAGCACAAGGAAAACAAGTAAGCATGAGGAATGCATATGTCTGTACCTTCATGTCTTATGGAATACCTTAGTCAAACAAGGAACAAGCTAAAGACTTATCCTGTGGTTGAAAGAAGGGTCAATAGAAAAAATAAAATGATACCCTAGAAAAGTAGGGAGAAATTGACCTTTCAAAGTTCTGATGTGAGAAAGAGAGAGGAAAAGAACTCATTGCACTTAAAGACAATCTTGGAGAGATCAAGTGGGTAAGAACAAGTTCAATTGATCGATGTCCCCTTGATAAAGAATTCACGCTTTAAATTTATGCAAGAGGTTAGCAATAGAGAGTTTGGATTGCTGGATGAGACTAGTTGGGTTGGTATTGTTCGCTAAACTTGCAGGGTGTATGTGAAGCTAACCTTATGTTGTCTATGTTCTTAGTGGAATACAGGAAAGGAACCTTTCACAGGATATTCAAAAGAGCAAGGGAGTTCCACGTTTTCAAACCTCTTTCACGGATTTAGATTCTTTTTGCTTGAGGACAAGCAAAGATCTAAGTCTGGGGGAGTTGATATACCTCTAATTTACCCACTTTTTATACTGTTTTAGCATTGTTTTCTAATGGTTTTTGGCAGGTTTTCTATCTAAAAAGGTAGTTTTACTGTGTTTATAGTGTCTAGAGTCTAAACAGGTGAAATGATGCATTTTGGAGCAAAACCATAGGATTTGCACTTCAAGCCGCTCCATGCACAAGCACCAACTTTAAGAGGGCCCAGAAAAAGATCTACTCAATGGATTTCATCAAGACCAGTTCCCTGCGTGCTCTGATTGAGTTAACTTTCCAACGCAACTGGAATGGCCTCATTTGGATGAGTAGAAAAGGAGTTATAACCAAAAGAGTGAAGACTGTCCAGACGGCTCTATCGAGAATCAGCGCCCAAACCGCGCAGTCCGGCTGGCCGAGAAACATGTTCCGCGCTCGGCCAAAGTCACATCCGTCCGACTGAAGTCTCGGCCAAAGTCCAAACCGACCGGCCGATCACGCAACGACCCGGGAAACATTGTCCCGCGGTCGGCCAAGCTTCAAACGCTCACGCCACGCCGCGCACGACCAAAGCGCGCGAGCCGGGAAACAAGCCTCGCGGCCGCGCAACCCGTTCGCGTACCACGGCCGATGCATCCGTCCGAGCCGGGAAAGAACGTCCCACGTCCGGCCGAGATTTCATCGGCCAAATCTCATCCGTCCGACCACGCCGGCCGACCGTGAATCCATCCGGCCCCGACCGTTCCGACTCGCCACACCCGACTGTCCGGCCGATCGTCCCGACCGACCGTCCCAACGCCGCGGTCGACCCGAAGCCCTTTTGAAGCCCAAACTTATGTTTTCAAGCCCGGCTTAACCCTAAGCCGCCTCTAGAAAGACCTAGCACTATATATATGGATTTTTAGCCTCTTGTGAAAAGAGAGCCGCCCTTGTATTTCGATTTCCTACTCTAAGTTTTATTGCAATCATGTTTTCTTCATCTCTATGTGTGTTTGCTTTGATCATGTCTGAGTAATCCACTAGTTAGGTTGCTAGGGTTACTATTCAATGAGTTGCTTGCATGATCTTTGATTTCAATGATTAGCTAGGGATTATATTAGAGTCTTTGTCTCGTCTTGTGCACTTAACTAATGCTGATTGCTTTACCGCGCATCTAGTAATCCGATCTTAGGTTGATTTGAGCCTCGACAGTGCTGTATCATTCGCCGGACATATTCTTTGACAAGCTAGGTTTCTTAGACTGCGAAAGTTGATCTATCTATATCTAGTGAACTGTATCAGAACCTATTCATTCTAATGCTTGATCTAATCACCTAGGGACATACCAAAAGTTTAGCGACTAGGTAGATTAGCAAAGGAGCCGGAGCCTCGAAAGTGGAATGGTTTTATATTCGTGATCTGTGTTCTAGATGGTTCTTAATATCCCAATATCCCTAATCAATTCATCTATCATTGTTTCATTGATCATTGCTTGCTTCTCTGCGATAGCCCCTATGACCTAGCGCTTTTCCTTTATTGATTTACAACCTCGTTATACTTGCTAGTTCGGTTCACCATTACAACCTCAATCATACTTTTGTTTTAGCTTGATCCAAAATCCATAGTTTCAAAGTGTACTCAATAGCCAGTCCTTGTGTTCGATACCCATACTTCCGCGATCTGTGCACTTGCAGAGGTCTAGGAGTTTGGTAAAACCTGACTCCGCATCAGTAATTCACTAGTTAGGTTGTGAGATCTATCAAAGAGTTCATGGTTTGATAGGTTGTTAGAAATCGCCTAGGGTTTTACTATATCGCATCTTCATCTTGCTTGAATTCATTGCTGCTTGCTTTTCTGATCAACTAGCATCAGATCTTAGGTTTCATATACTCTCCAAAAGCTTGCTATATAACCTGAACTAAGTATTTGGTGAGCAAAACTTCATAGACTGCGAAAGTTGATCTATGCGGGGTTGTGAACAATTGGGTCTTGAACGAACTATTGCTTGATTTAATCACCTAGGGACATACCAAAAGTTTAGCGACTAGGTAGATTAACAAAGGGGTCGGAGCCTCGACAGTGGAAAGATCATACAATCGTGACCTGAGTTCTAGATAGCGCAAACCCTAGCGAATCCTTCTAATATCTTGTTGACCTTGAATCTCTGCGAGTTTCTCATTGCCTAGCGTTTCCCTTTAATTGATTTTCATAAACCGTTTAATCTGCTGTTTGATTTACTTTGTTACACAATCAAAAACCCTAAATCATACTTGTTTTCTAGCTATATTAGACTTGCAATACTTGAAGTGTACTTATCTGCTCCTTGTGTTCGATACCCGTTTGCTACTTCTGACTGTGCACTTGCAGAATCAGGGATAGGAAAAGGAAAACCTGATCCCACGATCAGTTCCACGGGCATAACCGGCCAATCTTTAAATCTAGAAACATGTTTGATCCCAAAGACATACCTGCACCAATTTATGGTATTCCAAATTTTATATTCCTATCAATAATATATATATATATATATATAGGTTGACTTACTATAACCCTAAAAGATCAATAACAAAGAGAGTAATATCTCTCATTAATATCAATCAAACTCTACAAATAACATCTTACTTCTTGAAGATTTTTCTTCTTCTTCTTTTTATTACAATAAAATAAAAGTAATTGTTTAGAATTATCTTTGAAATAATGAAAAATATTTTTTTTTTCGACTGAAATAATTTTACAATATTTTAAAAGAGGGGTTAGCTTTCAAAATATTTTTAATTTGTGTAATATTAGTCCAAAATTCTTCAAAAAAAATCGCCTTTTGTTTTCTCATTTTTTTTCTTTTCAGGCTAACACATAAAATGTCATTCTTTTTCTTTCTTTAGAGGAGAAAAATAAAGAAACCACTAGATTTTAAAAGATTTTTTTTAAATTTACTTACCATATTAGTTTAGATATTCTCAGATTCTCGCAGAAACTTTATTTCTATGGACGGTAAAATCTAGGTTATTTCAAGAATTCGCACTCTACGAGTGATAAAAATCGATGAAATTGTGAGATAACATTTGCTATTTAACCGTAGAAAATATAATAGCCGTAGAATGTCTTTTCTACGGCCAGTAGACTATTGAAGGTAACGTAGAAATCATATTCTCTTGGCAGCAGAAATGAGAGGAATAAGAAGAATATGAATTCTACTTTGCAAATTTAAAAATGTAGAAATTTTTAAAACATATTTTTTTATAAAAAAAAAGGCATGACATTCTCCATATTATTCTACACTTGTAAAGAATTTTGTTTTTTACAAAAGGCATTTAAAAAAATTATTTCATAATTATCTATATTTTAAAAGGGTAATGAAGTAAAAAATGGTAAATTTCAAAAAAAGGTATATTAGGACAATAGGGTTTTTTTTTAGCCTACAGTAAAACCTCTATAAAACAATAATGTTGGGACTTTGAAATTTTATTATCTTATAGAGTTATTATTTTATCGATAAAACAATAATTATTATTTTATAGAAATATTCTATTAAAAACAAGAAACTTTATAGAAATATATTTTTCACTTTTTTTATTCAAATTTTCCTTATACTTTGTTATTTACATATTTCATGCTCAGAAGTTCAAAATCTATAAGAAATTATGTCTACTATTCTTAATGGTGAAGATGAAGTTGAAGATGATGAGGATGGACATGTGCAAGTAGTTAAGCAATTGTGGCTTCGAGAACTCTTCACAACTTTTGGCTGCATGTTGAGAATACACCACCAGAAATTGTAGATGCAATAAGAAAAATTCGAGATGAGCTCCAACGGGAATCCAACTTTCAGAAAAGACAAACTACATTGGAGTCATATTTTACTAAATTGTCTTAGATATATATGCCTTAGTTTTATAATTATTATCTTAGCTTATTGTTGGGACTATATTTTTACATAGGAGTTTCAAAAATATTATTGTCTTATCATCTTATCGCATTATGCTATTTTTTACATTGGCCCGAGTTGGGACCGGAGAAAATTATTATCTTATAATGTTTATTGTTTTGTCGAGTATTGTTTTATAGAGGTTCTACTGTATATTCACAAATCCCCCATAAATCTTTGTAGTGATTCGAAGAAACAAAACTGGGATCATTGATACCACAAAAAAAAAGTAGGATATAATCTATTTGTGGAGCCATGACACAAACACAAGCTTTAAAGCTTTCACATATTAAATGCACAAAGCACAATCTATACCAAGTGAGAATGAGAATGAGAAATTAAACCCTGAGCGGTTTCGGTGACTTAAGTTTCAACCGAGAGATTCCAAGACTCTTCTTGTATCCAAGAGAAACTTAAGTAACATATACACTAGACGTCATCTTCTTCTCGAATTGCTTGTTATTATGTTTTGATACTATTTAATTATACATGCAGCAACATTTGTTTGAAAAAAAAACAGTGTCTCCTTTAAAAGGATAATAAAGTCAAAAATGGTAAAATTCAAAAAAGATATATTAAAACAATAGGAGGTTCTTTTGAGCCTATATTCACAAATCTCCCATAAATCTATAAATCTTTGTAGTGATTCGAAGATACAAAATTGGGATCATTGATACCACAAAAAAGTAGGATATAAGCTATTTGTGGAGCCATGACACAAACACAAGCTTTAAAGCTTTCACATATTAAATGCACAAAGCACAATCTAATCATTCGTCTAGCTATAAAACATCTATACCAAGTGAGAATGAGAAATTAAACCGGAACGGTTTCGGTGACTTGAGTTTCAACCGAGTGTTTCCAAGGCTCTTCTTGTATCCAAGAGAAACTTAGTAACATACACTAGACGTTATCTTCTTCTCGAATTGCTTGTTATGTTTTGATACTAAGAAACTTAGTAACATATAACATGCAGCAACATTTGTTTGAAAAAAAAAAAATTAGCGTCTCCTTCCACTTATCATCCCAAACAAAACGATTAGTAGATGTTTTCCGTTAAAGTAAGAAAAGAGAAAACAAGTTCACGTTTTCTTCAAGTTGTTGTAACAGCAACTCTTGCAAAGAGCACAGTTGATCAACAAAACCTGTCACAAAAGAAAAAACATAATCCGAGAGGTTCTAAAAGAAAAACCATAATCCGCAAAACCATAAGTTCTAACCATCTATTTTTCCTCAGGGTCTAAACACAATTTCTCTTCGGCTTGTGACTGTTCAGCACTCAGTTTCGCCTTCTTGTAACTTTCTGATCTTCTCAGTACATCTACCAAGGTCCTGCAAAACATGATCAGAGACGGACAAGGAAATATTAGGACCAGAGTTTATGAAAGCTAATCATTGACCATAAAACATCCTTGAAACGGTCACTTACAATTTTGCTTCTCCAGCACCAGCAGACAGATCGTTTCCTGTTGAGATCAACAATCGAAATTAACAGAGATAAGGTAGCATCTAAATCCAAATATAAGTTATATTTAAATCGGTAAAGTACCTTGCTTCCTAGACACAGAATTCACATCACTCTCTTCATCGTCTAATGTACTATTAGATGGTGGTGCTCCACTGGTGACATCTGCAGATCTCTTCTCTTTCGGTTTCACTGAGCTCAATGAACCATCAATGAAACTGTTGGAGATGTTTTCTTTCTTGCTGTCGACAGCGACTTCCGCGGCATGATCAACCTTTGATCCACTCTTAACCATTGACTGCACATGGCTAGTAATAGAACCTCTAGCCTTTTTCTCTTTCGGTTTCTTTGAGCTCACCGAACTGTTAATGGAACCATCAAGGCCTTTCTTCTCCTCTTTAGACATAGCTACATCGATCACATGATCTTGCCTCTTGTCACCCCCATCAGCAACATCGACCTTTTGGCTAGGACATAAAGCATCTCCCATATCAGCCTTCCCCTCTAGAATTTGATTATGCTCACTATTACCAGCGACGTCCTTAGGCGTTATGACCAACGCATCAGTGTCTTTTGCATTTTTGAAGGGAAGAGCCACCTCCGGTGCAGGACTGTTTGCCTCTAGAATTTTAATTGTAGGATTTTAGAAGAAATGGAAATAGACAAAAAAGGAAAATGATAATAAAGAAAAAAGGAAAAAAAAAATAAAAAAATAAATGGAAAGTTTAGAAGAAAGAGAAAAGAAAAAAATAAATATAAAAGAATAAAAGAAAAAAAAAAAAAAAAAACTTGGGACTCCACAATCTTCTCAACGTGTGTCTTCTTCGATTTCTTCTCTTTCTTTTCTTGCAAAGACCGTAACACATCCCTGATGACATTATCAGACCCTTCTCCATTGACAACTTCCACAGGTTCAAGATTCTGAACACTCTCTTCTTTCACAAGGCTTTTGGCTGTTTTGGGCTTTCTATGACTTTTCTTCTCCACGTGATGCTCTGGTTGGCTCGCTAGTTTATCAGTTTGAGTGATATCTTCCACAGATTCCTCACCCGTCTCGTTTCCTACACAGAATCAATAGTAAAATTATGAGCGAATAAAGATTGCAGATTTCAATGTCTATAGACAACATCAGAATATTATCCTCAATAATAGAATCTACATGTTATGTGATAGTTAGTTACCTTTTCCTACAGCTGCAGTAAGAACATCGTCTACTTCAGAAATCGGTGCAGCAACAGTAACAGCTTCAGCCTCATTACTCTCATCAACCACGCGTTTCTTCCGACTTTTCTTTCCCTCGGAGCTTTTAGCTTTCCTCTTCCCTGTTCTTGTCTTCTCAGCTACAGCTACTTGTGTTTCTTCAAGTACAGAGTCCATTAGAGGGTTCGAACGTTTTTGATCATCAACCATAGTAGCCAGAAGATCGTCCTTGTCAAGTGTAGCAGATTGATTAACAACATCATCACTCACGCGTTTCTTACGACTCTTCTTTCCCTCCGAGATTTTCACTGTCCTCTTCTCTCTTTTCGTCTTCTCAGCTACAGGTACTTGTGTTTCCAACCCTTGTTCAAGTACTGACTCAACTCCAATCTCTCTATCTTCTCCAACCAAACCAGGGTTGGAACATTTCTGATCAGCAACCACAGTAGCCAGAAGATCTTCCTTCTCAACCTTGGCAGATTGATTAACACCATCATCAGTCACGCGTTTCTTACGACCTCTCTTTCCCTCCGAGCTTTTCACTTTCCTCTTCCCTGCTCTTGTCTTCTCAGATCCAACCTCTTGATTTCCTTCAACCCAACAGTTTTGAGAAGCAACAACTATGGCCAGAGGATTCTCCTTCTCAACCTTAGCAGCATCGACATATAGAAACCAGTTTCTACTAATGGCGTCAAAAGCGTCACTCACTTTCATATGATTTGACAATTCATACAAACAACCTCCGCATTTCACCTGATTTTTTATGTATAAAGAAACACCACATGGCTCAATTACTTGTTCCTAGCAAACAAAAACGTGTATTAACCCAAAAAGCTATGATTTTTACCTTCACCGCATCAATGTTGATTTCTCCAGTTTCTGTGAAATGTTCATGATGCTCCTCGCGAAACCGATCTGTAAACAAACAACGAAATCATGATCCGATTACCAACACCACTACAAGTTTAGAATCCGATTCAATGGAGTAAGGAAGAAATTGAGTGACTGATTTACTAATTTGGGGATTTCATTTTTTTTTTTGTTCTCACCTTTGAAACTCGAGATGGTTTCGTCTTTCACAACCGGAACGACGAGACGCGTCACCAGGTTCGTCTCCACAAACACGCCGTTGATTACCGGCGGTTGATTTCCTCCGAGATCGCCCATTTCGAAAGCTAACTGTGGGAAGCAAAATCAAAATCGAAGAAGATGAACTACTCTGGGAATGCGAAAGGGGTTTAAGCCGTCTAGGGTTTAAACTTACTCTTATATCTCTGTGAGCAAAATTATCCTAATTTGGGCATGGTATCATCATTTAACGACTAATTTGTACCATATTAAGAAATGTAGTAACAACTATGTAAAGTTCTGATACTAATTACAAAAGAAAAAGATTTAACAGTAAATCGGTTAGTCTTATTATCTCATTTGATTTATACAGCATACTCTAGACGTATGGGCTAGGCCTATATTATTAATAAATTTAGGCCCATTAAGAGTCCACTACCGGAGTAAATCTCAGCGAGAAGTACTGTATGTCCATGATGAGATGCATGAAGATATTCTAGTCTAAATCAGTCATAGAGCTATCTTCCAAATAAAAGAAACATAAATATGAGCAAGGCATAACTGTATTGGACTTTTACGTAGTGATAACAACTAATTCGTTCAACTTAAATCTTCAAACCATTGTTCTTGTAAGTCGTAATCCAGCTTCACAAATAAGTTTTTTACTTTTCAATTTCATCCCCATAATTTTGTATGCTCTTAGCAAAAGTCCACGAGATCACACGTTAACATATTTACAGTTCCACTCAATGCAAATAAAATAACCTTACGAAATCCACTACAAAGTCAGTTAACAAAGAAACAAAGCCTAAAAGAGCTAAATCAGACGCATTGATAAATGTTTCAGTCTACAAAGCTTGTCAAATGATACACAAAATGACAAAAACATCTCAGTTTTTCTTAAGAAAAGAGATCTAAAACGAACTACTATAACCAAGTACCTTTCTAAAGCTCCTCAAAGAAACTGAGCAGAGATGCAACAACACACCACCACTCTCCGAGATTTAGGGTTAAGATATTGTGAGAATATTGGCAAAATAGCAGCTTATATTGGTATCGAAAAAGAGAGGAAACTGAAAGGGTTTTGACACAGAGAAAGAGAGAGGAAAATGAAAGGATTTTCATCCTTTTTAAATAATTCCAACTTCCCAATGACAATAAATGCTACATGACAGGAACTCGTTCCATTGTTGGTCAGATTTCTGCGTAATTTGATATTGGTATCGAAATTCGAAAGAGAGAGGAAACTGAAAGGGTTCTCTCTTTCTCTCTCATAGACAAAAAATAAAGAGTCAAGACTCGTGTGCTTTTGGACATTTACGACGTAAAGTTAAATGCTCTTTTGTCTTCTAAATTCTGTTTTATTCTAGAGAAATAACTTAAGTAGAGATTCAACACATTCTCACTCAATACTCACATATCCAATATCTTTACATTCACTAGGAGAGTACCCGCGCAATGCGCAGGTTTATATATTCATAGTTTTTTGTGTGTTGTTGTGAGTATTTGTATTTTGTATATCAATATGAAGCACAACTCAACACCGGTTATGATATCTAATTTATGTAATGAAGAACATTTTTGCATCCAAATATGCATGAAGGAAGATAACTTATCTACTTAGGCTGTGTATATAGTACGTAGGGAAAACAAGAAAGTTACATTGGAAGGTAGATAGTGAAAAAAACCAAGAAGCATATATAGTCGGCTAGAACAGATAAACTCACCATGAGAGCAATTACCAATTTCAGTCTCGTTAAGAACTATGAGGGTTCAAATATCTTTGCTGTAAATTTTCAAAATAGCGATGAAAAAAAACTTAATTCTAGACAAAATAGATCGAATTTTGTGGCACTATGATTGCTTATATTCTCTTCTTCATCACTCTCTCCACCCTACGTCTCCCTTCATCACTCTCTCTCTGAAATTACAAAACCACAAGATCCAATATTTATCATCATGATCACCTTTCTAACAGCTCACATTTGTTCTGTTGCTAAACGTTTAAAATTTAACAGCAAAAATCTGGGTAAGGGAAAAAAATACTCTCTATTAACTTTTAATGGCGTTCTCACATGAGAGGCTAAAGATAGCAAATGCAGTAGTTAGAGACTGAGGAGAAAAGGATGCAAATGAGATAAACAATTAGTTGTGAACAATTAACACTTGATATTTCAGAAACAACAAATATGTGATTATTAACTTCACTAACTTCATAGTGTTTTAATGTGTAAACTTCACTAACGTACACTTAAAGTAGAGCGTAGCCTCTGAAGTAGATTTTACCTCAGAGCATGGTTAAGAATCATGAGAAATGTTATGAATGAGTAGCCATGAAAAAATCCCCTGAAAATAGAAAACCACTCATTCGGCTGTAAAATCATACGTTATCAATAGAGTGACCAAGTTATACTGTTTTAAATAAAGTAAATCAGTGCTAGCTTTCAGTATAAAAAGTAAAAGGTCGTAAGTCAGCTCACCTCTGTATACACTCCGGCGAAACCACTTAAAAGAGCCATAACCTAGAAATGACGACAAACGATTATATCAATTGGTGTGGACATGAAAGATGCTTCACAAATCTTAGTAGGTATTAGCATGCTAATGTGGCTAAGAACTTACAATTGCCATAATCCAGCCCAGAAGAGATGTTTGGAGAACACGATCAGAACTGCAAAACGAATTTCAAATATGAGACCATTTACTGGAAAAACAATAGACCTCCAAGTTCTAAGAGCCAGAAAATATAGACATTAACTGATCATAAAATGAGCTTTTATATAGGCAAGATAGAAAAATCAAAGGGTAAAAGAATCTCAAGACCTATCTACCTTGAATTCAACTGAGCAGTGGTGCATCCGCAACACAACAAGATGAAACCCGCCCACTGAATCTCGCTCAACCTGATAGAAGAAATTGGTATGAAAACTGATAAATAGAGCATGTCACCTCTTAAAGATGAAGAAGTTCAGGGAACAAGAAGAGAAAGAATTGAGGGGAATAAAAAACCGAAAAACTGATGGATTTCCAAAACTAACTACTCATTGCAAGCTATGAAATGCATCTGGATGAACAAAAATACCTACTTTTTCTTCAGTATAATTCTGTACAAGACACTGAGTTCTTCAGTATCTGATAGCCTGGGGCATCTATGTATGCAAAAATATAGTACTGCCACATAAAAGGTGACAACCACAAGTAGTCAGAAACCTACTAAAAAGGAAAACAGAGAGTACAAACATCGACCTAAGTCTCACACATACACACACACACAAAACTAACGAAAGCCCACCTGTAACAGATTCTTGAAAAGGTACAATGCAGCAGGGATGGGAAAGACTTTAACTTCGTCATATGTTGTACTTAACCTGATTCAGAGACATAATCTGGGTATCAGTAAGTCAAAAACCCAATGATGGTAGTCGCAAACCCATTAACAAATCGAGTAGCAGAAGAATACAAAACCTATTATGTTTCTCAGAAATCAGGTATCTGCGAGATGAATCAACTATCAAGGATTGGATAAAAAAACATATGGAGGAGGAGATGAATCATTAAAATGAATACCTGATTGTGAAAAAAAATGATTTCAGGATAACAATTAAGAACTGAAGAAAAGGAGAATCGAGAAACTTACTTTGGCGGCGAGATGGTCGAGAACGGTGGCCATGAAAATTGAAGCTCCAAGACCGAGCTTTGGACGACGTGGCAGGTCACGATGGGGAATCTGCCGAGAGGGTTTGGTTGCCGGTAAAGACAGGATTTTCCGTCGCAGACATTGCCGGGGATGGCTTTGCAGGTGGAATTATGGCAGGTGACGAGAGAAACGGCCGACGGAATCCGAAGAGTCTCGCCGGAGGTGGGTGTGGATGAGGGAGGAGGCGGAACGGAGACCATCCGGTGAAGGAAAACAGATGGACTTCAGTAAACGATTTTCGTTTCGATGAAAGATGGACTCCGGGAGAACCAGACGATGTCGTTTTAGTGGGGTTGAGATTCATTCCAAAAAACGACGTCGTTTTGGAGTTATTTGGGGTAAGTTGAAAACGACGTCGTTTTGGTGCTAGACGAAATTTTTTTTTAAAAAAGTTAAAGCGCAAAACGACGTCGTTTTGGCGTTGGAAGGAAAAAAAACAAAAGTGCCACGTGTCCCTAGCTGGAAAGCCTTATTAGTTATGTAGATTTCAATTTGTAAAAATGATTATCTGTAAGAAAACAATGCTTTTATCGACTAATTATAGTAATTTGTGTTAGACCATTCAGAGAATACATAGACTTAGACTCTGATACACTCTCTTGAACCTGCAATGAGAAAACGGGTTGTTTTGGTAAAAGATCCATTGTCGTAGTAAGCATTGACATGAGTTGTTCAGTGTTAGGTCTATCCACAACTTAATGTTGAATACAGAGCAACCCAATCTGAACACATCCCTCTACTTCGGTTTGAGAACCCGAACTAAAAATGTCTTGATCTAGCAGAGCCGCTCCCATGTCTTGAAAAAATTGAAGAAATAAGAAAACATGTGATCCATAATCTGAATTCAAGAAAGATAGAGAGAGTGATTTGGCTTACATATTCGAGAAGACTTTTTCCTTCTTCTCCAATGGTGAAGCTCGAAATCCTCTTGCCGGTAATGATTTCTAACTTCTAAGAGAAGAACTCCAAATGCATAGATGTCTGATTTCTCGAGAACATCCCTGTCCATGCATATTCCGGAGTATGATTTAATCTACAGGAATAAACACTAAACAGAACCAGTAAAATGACAACTGACAAACGAGTTTAGTTTCATTTGTGCTCTTCAGAATTTCTCTTTGTCGTTAGTTAGTGCTATAAAAGAAAACAGGATCCATACATGTGAATCAAATTCGCATTTTCATGATTTATACAGCAGAAAGCTATAAAAATATATGAGGTCTAAAGAAGAGGTCTACCACTTAATTAAATCTAAAATTAATTTAATTTAATTTATAAATAATATAGAAAATATTTTGATTGAAATATTGTGTTCAGAAACAAAGTATAGACATTCAAAATCTATATAAATATAATTTCATATAATAAGTCTTTTTAAATATGCAAAAGCTAATTATGTTAGAAATTTATAAAACCGTCAGACGTCTAACAGCGAGGTCTATCAGAAAACAGAAATCTTAAAATTAAATTATAAAAAATTTAAAAACTAATTTCATAAACAACTTGCATGCATAATTAATTATTAGACATTTGACTTGTATTCAAATTAAAATTTAAGAAAAACGAACAAAATAAAAAAACTATGAGTAAATGGTTGAAAAGAAGAAGAGTTTGAGTAGATAGTTTAGGGTTTAGATGTGTTTAGGGTTTGGAGGCTTTTATTTTGAATTATTATTTTTGCTTCGTTTCTTGATATATGATTAATATATTTCTTATCCAAACCCTAAATATGGTAAATCCGAAGCAAAATCAATATTTTGTTAATCATTTTTTTCAAAATTTGAGGTTTAGGGTATTGTAGACCTCTTTGGTAGACCTCAAAATGCTGCTAAAACGTTTGGCGGGAATTTGAAAACTGAAAAACCCTTTTGGCGGGAAATTTGAAAATTGAAAAAACCCTTTTTGCGGGAACGAAAATTGGCAACTCAATCAGACCACTCGTGTAGACCTCCCATTAAGTCCGAGGTATAAATATAAATCTAAGCCCTAATTCTTTTTTAATCCTAACTCTTACTTACTAAAATCTGATTATCTCCGCCAGTAATCCCTCCGCCGGCGTTCTCTGTAACCAAATACTCATAATGGGACGCTTTAGTTGGTGTACGGAAGGTTCTAGTAGCTCTGTTAGACTATGGAGTGATGATGCAGCGGAAGTGAGCTCTCATACAACTCGACCTATAAGCTTTGGAATTCCTAGCAGATGCTACTGCGGTTTGTTGACTCTGCTCAAAATGATGGACCGTGCGGATGAATACCCTGGTCGAATGTTCTTCGGGTGCAAGGATTACAAGGTAACGACTGTTGAGATGTGTTTATGTTTTTTATTCCTGAGATCTAATTCACAAATACTAATTGTTTATATTCGTCATGAAGCTCGGTCCCCCTCATCTGGTGAAGTGGTGGGATGAGGCTATGATGGAGGAGTTCGAAGAAGTAAGACTGACCAGAGAGAACCCTCAAGCACGTATCATTGAAGCTCAAAATGCAGATCGTGAAGACCTTACGCGGAATGAGGCAGAAATAGTTCAACTAAAGGCCCAACTTCTGGGGACTAGACGCAGGAGAAGAGTCGAGGTTACGACGTTGGGTATGGTGGTTGTTGTACTCGTCTGTCTGATAAGTTATTCGCTATTGTGAGCAATCTTGACAATCTTCATGTAGTCCTCTTTTCGGGATTGTTAATCGGAACACTATTGTAGACCTCTTGTCGGACTCATGTAGACCTCTTTTCGGCTTGTATCGTAGACCGCGTATGTAGACCACAATTTAATTAGCAATCAAATCTTTTAAATGGTTAATCGTAAACCGTATTTTTAACCACTAAAATCTAACATTGTCAACGTCGAAACCGTAAATAATAAACCATAACCGTAATTTACGGTTGTTAACAGGCTGTTTATCTTTAAATAAAACATAAAGATAATCAAACCGGCTTTGTTTAAATCGAACCGGAAATTAACAAAACAAATCGAGTTAACCGACATATACATCGCATCTCCGCTTCTGAAATCACATTCGTAACCCTAATTCGTGCCTCTCGCGGAGGAAAAATAATACACATTAAATGATCCAATGTTCATACTAACTAATAGTTTAAGAAAAAATAATTTCCATCATCATTTTGCTTCTATCTTTTCTGCAGCTATTGATCACCGATATCATCCATCCACAATAACATGCTGCGGCCGCTTGATGCTTGATCGCAAATACTAAAGCAAAAGTTGTTTCCTGAAAGAAAAAAAAACATAGAAAAGTATCAAACTAAATAAATCCAATCACACAGAGGATTTCTAATCCTATCAAATAATATCTCAAAGCAATTGGCAAGATATAATATCATTGATTGTTAAGGGAAAACGTAAACTTAATCCTACAAAACATTGAAACAGAAATTAGACACAAAAATTATCAGATCTATTTTACCTTCATATGGAGAAGAAACAATATAGTGCTGGCTGCTCGACTACATACACAAGTCCTTCAAGAAAATCTCTAGTATATAAGTTTTATTTGTTAATCCCTTTATGAATATCTTCTGTAAATCCAATTGCTGCAAAGTTATATGAGGAGAAGAAGAAAGAAAGAAACTGCAAAGGAAGCGAATGTAACTGTTAGGATTCTATAATGATTTATAACTGATTGTTTGTTTAATTTATTTAAGGAAAATATGAAACACTAATCCCAACATTAATATTCAATTTCCAAGAAAAAAACAACCGGGATGGCTAAAAAATGGGCGCCTAAAAAAAACTAAAGTTAAAAGGAAAAAAGAAATTTGGTCAGTTACTAAAAAAAACTGGTGTAAACTTAGTATCAAAATATAAGAAGTGATTCTAACAACTAACCTTCTAAGAAACTTTTATATAAGCGATGCAAAGTTTTACATGTAACATCAATTTAATATTGATGCTAATTATTATCGTTATTGTTTTTGTTAATGCTACTTTTGTAACCGATGCCAAATTAGTTTTCTATTATCAAATCAAAATAAAATTAGATAATAGTATCAATTTTGTTTAAAGTGATACAAATTAATATAAATGATATCAATTAATTGAAATGATGCAAAACTAGTTAATTACAGCATCATGTATTTATAATTGATGCTAAATCATGTATATTTGTCTCACTTATAAATAAATGATTTTAAATAGTATCACTCAGTTTTGTGATACAATTCTTCACTTTTTTTGTAGTGTATACGCCGGATTCATTCAGGCCCGGAATTCTGGTCAACAAACTCCTGTCAAACTAGCCAGGCTTGTCATGTACCTGGACAGGTTCCACGATTACCCGTGGTGTCGAGTTGCCTTCAAGCACCTCATGACAGCTGTCAAAGGAGTAGACTTAGACAAGTCCGGTTTCGCAATGGATGGGTTCGTCGAAGTCCTCCAAGTTTGGGCCTATCACTGCATGCCTGAGTTTGCAAGAAAGTACGGAGCCCCTCTTCCATCCAATCCAACTCCACCAGTCTTGGCGTATAAGGGTGTCAAGGGCCGAAGATACATCGCGGAGGCCATGCTGAAGCAGGTAAATTTATTGTCAATGTACTGTAGTTCTCTAGGTTGTCTTCTTTCACTTGGTTATTGTAAGTCTCCAAATAACTCCTGTTACATTGCCGCCAGGTTAATTTCAACAACTGGACCGCTGTGGAGGATAGGACTCAGGTGTACCCGCGGTGGGATGATGTTGTAGACGACGGGGATGTCGACAATATCGTCAAGGCATTGCACGGTGAGCTTGGTGGTCGTTGGAGGTGGAAGATGACTGACTGGATTGAGGCGGGTGTATTGGTGGCAAGGCATCCTCGGGTGGAGGAGTCTAAGAGCCAGAGAGGAATCACTGAGACGGAATCCGTTTCACAGAAGAGGCATTGTCCTTGGAGTCCTTCACTCGGCCAGGGGATCGAGGAGAGTTTGCAGAGTTCACCAACACCATCTTTGGTGAGCTCAAAGTGGGGTTTCAGAAGTACGACCGGAAGCTCACATCGACCACGAAGGTTGTGGGTATGGAGCAAAGTTTGCAGCAGATGAGAGATGCACGGCTTCCGGAGCAGGTAAAATCAAACGAGGCCAATACCCAACCTGAAAAACCTGCTGGACCGGTTAGTACGTCTCCTTCTCTCAAATCTCCCAAATGTACTAAAAACCAAGATAAGGATGTCTCTGATAGAGTCCTCCGAGATAGGACTAAAAAGAAGCAGAAGTTAACAAGTAGACTTTTGGAGGCCGGAGGCATCAAAATTTCAAGCTTTTTTTAACAATGGTTTTGCCAATCTTTGTGTTTTTATTTGTTGTGCTTGTAACTGTAGACCATTGTCTTACTCTCTCTTGCTCTTTTTTAGCTCTGTCCTTCAGAAGTCTCCCTTCCTAGGAAACATCACAGTCAAGGTAATCATCACCAAGAAGCCACGAGTGACCGCACAACCATACAATCCCTTTGCCGTGGAAGACAAACAAGTCCGTAAAGAGCTCAACGCCTTTCTGAAAAGCACACCGTAAGAACCACCACATCTAAATATGCATTGCGTTCAAATCTTTAATGTTCTTCATAATTCTATTTCAACATGCGCAGTGGGTACCCGAAGAATGACAAGGATTTATATCCTTTGCGTTACTGGTGGTGGGAACTGATTACGCAGCCTCAGTGGCTATCCGACTCGGTAAGAACTAATGTAGACCTCCAGTTTAGGTCTATCAAGCGTAGACCTCTAGTTTAGGTTATCAAGCGTAGACCTCCTGTTTAGGTCTATAAAGCGTAGACCTCCAGTTTAGGTCTATCTGTATTGTTTTTGCTTACATAAATATCAAACGTAGACCTCCTGTTAGGTCTAGCTAAAGTGTTGTTGCTTAGGTATTGTTAACTTACGGACAAGATCCTCTTTATTTCTTTTCAGCAGGTGGATGCGGCTATTAACGTCCTACGTCTTCGGATGCATGAACACCCGGAATGGTTCAGAAGTGAACGCATATGCCTGGTTGACAGTGGTCTCAGCTTGTTCAGGCCTTCAAAGTATGAAATGTTCATGAAGTCAGAGCCTAATGTATGGGGTCTGGGGAAGTTTTTACCACCGGACTCAATGGATTACTACTATGGGAAGAAGCCAGAGTACTGCCAATCACTCAAGAGATGGGGCCGCGACGTTGACGACATATACATCCCTCTTAACGTCGACCAGACACACTGGATTGCTCTAATGGTGTCGATCCCAAATAGGCACATTGTGGTCTGGGATAGTTTACCTTCTTGCATCGGAGATCCCGACCTAGAGACTAAATGATGAGCCTATTCAAGTAATGATGCCTTATGTCCTGCGTGAACTGGCTGATATTGAAGACCGAGAGAACTATCTGTTCGACAAGTTCACTTTTGAACGGGTTAAAGGGGTTCCTCAACAAGATAACTCCGGGGACTGCGGAGTATTCACCCTCAAGTACATTGAGTGCCACGCACTCGGAATACCTTTCACAAGTTCGGCTCTATGCAGGAAAAAGATCAAGGCTATAAGGGCGAAAATGGCTTGCGACATATTCCACGAGACGAAGTGCAAAGGCCCTGTCACGCGTAGCTGGGCACATTTGGATGCGTTCGATGAGCCTATATGATTTGTAGAATGTAGGGCTTTACTCTATTTGCGCTTGTGAGACTGAGGTTTCAGATTTTTTTTGGTAAGTCACCAGCAAGACTCGTAGCTTAAGCCCTGGAGAATTTGAGGAAGAAGACTACCATACTTGGTAGATGATTTTCTTATGCAGGAAGAAAATAAATTCTCAATAATATGACTCAATGAATGAGATGGTTTTAAGCCTGAAAATTGAAGGCTATGGAGATCAGATTTGAAAGGTCGAAGGTTAGTACAGCCACAGAGGAGATGCTGTTGGATAAGACTTCGTTGTATGGTGTAGGATTACGTGAAGCTATCTGATCTGGTAAGAAAGCATTGTTGGACTGAGGAGGGGGGAGATATTTTAGCTTTCAGTCTCAACAATCTCAAGTCATCTTTTATAAGTGTGAGAAGAACAGAGAGGTGATCTGTTTTGAAATACTTAATGAGAAGAGAAGCAGAAAAGAGGACTCCGAGGTTGCTGCCTGGATAGAGAGAAGAGCGTAGATGGAGCAGTAATGCAAAATGAAACAGAGCTGCAGTAGTTGTTATCTTCTGAAGCGTGGAGAGTTGGAGGTTGCTGGATCATGTCTTGAATCAGAAGAAGCAGCAAGGATAGTTTATCTCTAGTATGGGAACGAAAACTGCAGCAAGTTGTGTACCAGAATAAGCAGTGAAGGTCTGAGGCAGTCTAGAGAGTTGGAAATATTTTTGGGATCATATTGTCCCTAGAACTGCTACCACATCAAAAAGTGATTGTTCTGTGCGTACGACAAGCTTAGATCTTGTTTATTGGCGACAGCGGTACCTCTTTGATGTTGGGCCAGCAGCTTCTGAGGCTTGATATCCGTTTCTTTCTCAAGCTGGTTCTTATGTTCTGTGTGGAAGTCTTGCTGTTGAGAGTGGGATCATGCTTGTTGGTTATCTTTCAGTGTTAAATGGCAAATCATGTTTACTCCAAGTATAAAGAAGATATATCACTATTAGTCATGATTGGACAGAGATTTTCAAGAGGAAAGATGTCAAAACTTTGTTTCTCTTGATGAGAAGAGGCTCCTTTTGCATGGTTTTATCTTATTTGTGCACTCAAGCAGGAGGAGATATATTGGCTTGATGCATTTTGGATCCAAAAATAGTTGATTGCCTTGTGTAATTATTGAGCTGGTTGTTGCATGTGAAGTTGCTTGTGTTGCACAAACTAAGAAAAAGGGAGAGCTAAGGAGTTGGTTATTGACAGAGAAGACAGATTTATCTGGCAAATTAAAGCAAAATTTCTCATCCGATCCTATAAAGTGTGACTCGAGGCTGCATCTGTTGGAATCACATGATCAATGTCTATGCCTGAAGTTGAGAACAACAGTTGTTTGGAGAACTATCTTCTGTGATCCTGTCTTACCTTGGAAACGATGATTTGGAGAAGATGAGTATTGAGTTGTTGATGATGGGTTCTTAACTTGAACCAATAACCAGGCGGTCAAGAAAAATCAGGGATTGGTTTCATGAGTTTTCGATGGTCATTAAAAGTGAAAAAAGAAGCTAAATGAGTGGTCTTGTTTTGCTAACCACGTTCATCATATGGTTCTCAAAAGGAGAGAGTTTTAAGGTTAGCTCAAGGATTGTCTTTACGTGAATTCAACAGTTGTGATGAGATCTTTGGTGGAGAATCTGTTTACTTGGTTGAACCTCAAGCTCTGGAAAACCATAATGGCTTCATAATCAGGCTAAGGAGGTTCATTGTGAAGAAAAAGGAAGAGCTACTCAATTCAGGAGGTGATGATTGATGAGAGTCGTTATTGTCTAGTTTTTGATTCTAGCCTAAGCAAGTGTGTTGATGAGTGATTTCAGTACATAATCGGAGGTATCATGTAGCTGAGAAACGAATTGAGATGAGCTCTATTCTCTGTAAGAAAAGTATAGAGGATGAGTTCCGAAAGAATCACCTTTATCTCAAGATTAGAAAGGCTAGTGGTGTTGATTGCTGTATTTCATCAAGAGAAGCTTTTGAGAGTTTGAGTTTTCTGCAGAAATAATCTCTTTGGTATTTGATTTGCCAAGAGGTTCTTGATTGGAGGATGTCTATGGGTTTAATGGGAAGTGAAGTTATCATTCTCAAGAGAAGAGATCTGAATTCTCATGTTAACACTAAGGCATGAAATTCGTTACACCTTAACATGAATTCTCAAATAGGCGTTTGATTTGTGTTTCTTGGAGAATAACTGCAGAACGTTTAGGCATGATCAAGACTGAAGTATGTCTCTGCAGTGATTTTGGTGAAAATAGTGTGATTCTTTATTAAAGGGAAAAGACAGTTCTGTATGGCCAAATTCAGAGAAAAGTTTGATGGCTCTAAAGTAATCCGATTATGCTGAATTTTGGTGACTAGCTTCTTGAGACTTCTCTCTTAAGAATCAACGGTGGGATTGAGATTTCAACGGCTGGTATGAGATTTAGTTTTCAATCTCTGAGAAAGGTCTGAACAGATTATGCAGAAACATTCTTGACATATGGGGCTACATTCTGATCAAAGGAGAGTCCGATTGAAGCTTGAAAGAGAGAGGAATGTGTTGCTGCCTTTATCTCTCTATGCTATTACTTCGTGGGATGTCAGACTTCAAGATGGACTGATTGAGAATCAAGTCCTTGATATTTCGTTCTAACAATTTGATAGAAGAACTGAAGCCTTGGGAATATGTCTCCGTAATCAGTGAACGAAGCAGAATATAGACCAGAGCTCAAAGATTTCAAATCAGATTTCTGTTTTAGAGGTTTGACGGCAAAAGGGATCGTCATAGGAGATGTTCACTGTTCCCTGTTTTTAGTGAAAGACTTGGAGAAGATAAGTTGGTTGACTTTGTTTCTTCCAAGAAAAAGAGGTATGAACTCTACTTTATGTATCTCACGTCAAGAGTCAAGATGAGATCAGCTGCAGGTTTTTTCTGAAATACAGAATTAAGATGTAAAATAAGGTTCTGAATGTTCTGAGTTTATTCACAAGCCAAGAGGCTCTATTTATACAAAAGATCAAAGACCCTAACAGCCTAGGGTTTTTACAAAGGATTGAAAATAGTAAAACTTCCTAAAACATAAATGTACATATTTTCGATAACGTGCATAACACGTCTAACTATATGGGCCTCCTCTAACACCTCCCCTCAAGTTGGAGCATATGGATTATAGATGCCCAACTTGGAAATGATATTCTCAAAGTCACGACGTCCCAATGCCTTAGTAAACACATCAGCAAGTTGATCGTGAGTATCCACTTTCTTAGTAACAATCGTGCCATCGACAATCGAGTCACGCACCGTGTGACAATCTCGTTCTACATGTTTGGTGCGCTCATGAAACACAGGATTCGCCGCAATATACAAAGCCGCTTGATTATCACAATAGAGTTCCATCGGCTGTGTTTGAGTAATACCTAAGTCAATGAGCACATCACGCAGCCATTTTAGTTCTCCAACTGCTTTCGCCATACTCCGATACTCTGATTCAGCAGAAGACTGAGAAACCACATCTTGTTTCTTAGCTTTCCATGAGACCGGCGAAGTTCCAAGAGTAATAAACAAAGCACCAAGCGATCTTCTAGTGAGCCGACACCCCGAAAAATCAGCATCACACCAGCCTCTCAACCGAAGATCACTATCAGATTTCAATAACACTCCCTGTCCCGGAGTACCTTTCAAATAACGAACAACACGCAAAGCAGTCTCCCAATGATCTATTCGTGGCTGATGCATAAATTGAGAGAGTACATGAACCACATAAGTCAGATCAGGTCGAGTGGCCAATAAGTAGATCAACCGGCCAACTAAACGTCGATAACGTTCTGGATCTTCAAGAAACGGTTTATCTGATAACGCAAGCTTGTGTTGTTGTTCAATCGGAGATGTAGCAGGTTTCGATCCAAGACAACCTGCATCACTGATAATATCCAGCGTATACTTTCTTTGACAAAGAAAGATACCATCTTTATTCCTTGCAACTTCTATGCCTAGAAAATATTTCAGTTTCCCTAAATCCTTCATATGAAAACATTCTCCCAAGTATTGTTTAAAATCTCCAATAGCTTTAGAATCATTCCCTCCAATGACCAAATCATCTACATACACAAGTATGTATATCTCAATACCTTCTTTTCGTAGATAGAACAAAGAGTAGTCCGAATATGACTGTTTAAAACCATATCCAATCAAAGCAGTGCGCAGCTTAGCAAACCAACAGCGCGGAGCTTGCTTCAAGCCATACAATGACTTCTTAAGTCGACAAACCATCTGTTTGTCCCCCACACGAAATCCCGGTGGTAAGCGCATATACACTTCCTCGTCTAAATCTCCATGAAGAAATGCATTATGCACATCCATTTGATGTAATTCCCATTGTTTGGCTGCAGCCACTTCAAGAAACAAACGAATTGTTGACATCTTGATGACTGGAGCAAACGTGTCTGAGTAATCTACACCCTCAACTTGTCTATTTCCAAGAGCAACCAATCTTGCTTTATATCTCTCCAACGTTCCATCAGCTCGAAACTTTATCGTATACACCCATTTACAACCAATGGCTGTTTTCCCTTTTGGAAGTTCTACCAAATCCCACGTTCCATTAAGGTCCAAAGCTTCTATCTCAGCCAGCATCGCTTCCCTCCATTTCTTGTAGACAACAGCATCCTTAAAAAATATTGGTGCAGTTTCTGCATGCAAGGCTGCAAGAAACGCTCGATGACGAGGAGAGAAGGACTTGCTATCAAGATAATGAGATATAGGATGAAAACTGTGTTCATCCATGCTTTCTTCAAATGAAATCTCAATTTCCCCATCCACACCCTCCGTTTCGCGAATGGTATTAAGCACAAAGTCATTCAGCTTGGACGGGATCTTCTTCGATCTCATACCGCGTCCCAGATTTTCAGTAGTTGGTTGTGTGTCATCACAACTATCCTTCGTCACATTCTCGTGAGTTCCTTCAAGACATTCCTCTTGTCTTTGAACATTATCAGTTGATTCTATGCGTTTAGCAGTAACATTTTCTTCATGCGTTACAGGGTCAACCGGTTTGCCAAGATGTGTATCATCAAGTCTTGATTCCACAACCTCCGGTTCGTCATCGTCAAATAAACCAAAATCCAAAGGTCTATTTGAATCATCATTGCTTGCACCTGCAAGCGATTCATGTCTAAGAGGAAAAACATCTTCCACGAAAATAACATCTCGAGAGACAAACACTTCCTCTGTTTCCAAATCAAATAAATTCCATCCTTTCTTATCAAATGGATATCCCACAAACAAGCAACGTCTGCTTCGACTTTCAAACTTATCTCCTCCTCTTCGTTGATTATGAGCAAATGCCAAGCAGCCAAAAACCTTCAAGTTGTCATAAGTGGGAGGAACACCATAAATCAGTTCATAAGGTGATTTTCCTTTCAAGAGACGTGATGGAGTCCGATTTATCAGAACTTAACTGGCAGAGAAGACTGAAATAGCAGTGCACGAGCTACATTCAAAATATGCCTGTGCTTTCTCTCTACTCTCCCGTTTTGCTGTGGTGTTCCAACACAAGACGTTTGGTGTCTTATCCCCTGTTCTCGAAATTCAGAAGCAAAGCTTGTGAATTCAGTTCCATTGTCACTTCTAACAATTTTAATCTTCTTCCCAAATTGTCTGTGTGCCATGGTGATAAAATTCCTCAATGTTTCTTTGACTTGAGTTTTATCACGAAGTAGAAACACCCAAACTCCTCTTGAGTGATCATCAACGATTGTCAAAAAATAGTATGAGTTGCACAAACTTGGACTACGATATGGCCCCCATAAGTCACAGTGAATCATATCAAAAATTTCGTCGCTTTTATTATCACTTGAATGAAAAACCTCTCGACTATGTTTAGCTTTCACACAAGTATCACAAACTGAAAAATCCCTACTCCTATTACCAACAATAGGAAGCAAATCAAAAACACCATTGGATGGATGTCCAAGTCGTTGATGCCACATCTCATCGGCTCCATCTTTATTCAAAGGTAAAGCTCTAAAATTCTTCAAGCGACGAAAGAAGTAAAGTCCATCCCGAAGCTCACCCGCTCCAATCAGCCTCCTCTCGATACGGTCCTGAATTACACAACCCTTATTAGCAATCTGTAACACCACATCCAAGTCCTTAATAAGTTGTGACACCGATATCAAGTTGCATCTCAAATCCGGAACAAACAACACATTCTTAAGAGCAAAATCTTCATCAAAAATTACTGTCCCTTTTTCTCGAGACAAGCTCTGTTTTCCATTTGGAAGGCCAATACCACATGGCAACATATACTTCCGATCATTCAACAAGTCAACATATCCAGTCATGTGATTCGATGCTCCTGTATCAATCACCCAGTCATGAGAGAAAGACTTACCAGTCAAGCGAGGTGTTGCTCCTTGTTTCTCTTCCAATAGCTTGATTAGTGTGCTCCATTGTTCGTTAGTGAGTCCAATGTACCCACTTCGTTCTGCTTCAGTGCTGATTTCACCATCACCACTGTTTGGACCTATCACGGCATTGGCTCGAACCATTCCGCGTCCTCTTCCCATTCCACGACCACCACCGCGACCTCCTCCTTGTTGTCCTGCTCTTTCTCCCCACCATTCTGGATATCCGATGGTTTGATAGCATGTCTCTGCGGTGTGTCCTTTCTTCTTACAGTTTGTGCATGTCAGTTTGAGCTTCTCCTCTTTGACATTACACTGTTTCTCTGTGTCACAAACGCCGTTTGAGGTGTTTGTTGTTCTCTTCCACGCATCACCGTGTTGATTCTCTCAACAGATTTTACTTTGGAGTAAACTTGGTTAAGGTTTGGAAGAGGATCAGTGCTGATGATTGAAGTGCGAACTCCTCCATAGATAGCATCATCAAGCCCTAGAAGAAACTGGTGAATCCGATCTTCTTCTCGTTTCTTCTCAAGTTCGGAATTCAAGTTGCACTTGCATAATCCACACTTGCATTCCGGACTTGTTTCATAGTTCAACAAGTCTTCCCAAGAACTTGTAACTTTCCAAAGTACTCGATCACACTCGAGTTTCCTTGTCGGCAAACCGCCAGTTCAGCCTTGATCTCCTGAATTCTTGGTCCGTTTCCTTCAGAGAATCGTTCCTTAATCTCTTTCCACAGCTCCGCTGGATCTTCTTTGTTTGCCAAAGTTCTTCTTACTTTAGAATCCACTGTGTTTAAGATCCACAAAGTCACCATTGATTTAGCAGAAAGCCAATCTTCATGGTCTGCTGCATCTTTCGCCGGCTCCGTCACACTTCCGTCAACGAAACCAAACTTCTTCTTTACTCGCAGCGCAGTCCGCACCGCTTGAGCCCATTCATCAAAGTTGTCACCATTAAACTGAACCTATGCAATCACTGCACCAGGATTCTCAGTCGCCGAGAGCTGGTATGCTCCTTTCATCTCTTTCTCAACTAACGCCATCGCCAAGTTGCCCGGATTAGGCAAGATCTCTGTATCGGAGTCGATGTTCTCAAGATCGTCTCGCTCTGATACCATGTAAAACAAGGTTCTGAATGTTCTGAGTTTATTCACAAGCCAAGAGGCTCTATTTATACAAAGATCAAAGACCCTAACAGCCTAGGGTTTTTACAAAGGATTGTAAATTTACAAAATGTACATAACGTCGGTTACGTGCATAACACGTCTAACTATATGGGCCTCCTCTAACATAAGAAGAATAAGATACTGCAAGGACTACTCAATGATACATATTTTAAAAGAAAACATAGACTGTTTTGAGTAAGAAGAAGCCATGCTGCAAAGGTTAAGACCTGATCCTACTGTTATAGAGCTGCAGATTCTGGAGAATTATATCAGAATGTACATCACGAGGGCTGGCGTCGCCTGAGATATTCGAGATGATGATGTTTGATTCAATTATTCTGCTGAAACAGAACATGTTTGTGATTTTGAGGGTATGGAAGATTTTTGATGAAGCATTGAGGCAAAAAGCTACAGGTTTAGAGAAGTTAACTGAGCAGCAGCTGTATCAACTCCTATAACAGAACCTGCAACAAGGGTTAGATTATGACTTCGTACAAGAGCTGTTTTTGAAGAAACTAAGAGATTTACGTCTGAAGATCTTTAGTGATCATAAATGATTGGTATTATGCTCCTGGAAGCTTGAGATTTCTGCAGGAGACACGTTTTCTTTTTTATGAACCAGAGGATCTGTTTAAAAGAGAAGGTCGTGAGTTGAGATGGAGATAGTGCTTGGCAAAGGTATGAGGTTACAATGACATCAGACTGGTGTGATAAAGCCAAGGAAGACGTGTTAAGGGATTTTGGTTCAGCTGAGAATGATAGAGGCTGATTGGACCGTGTATAGTTGGAATACACTCATGTTTTGTGTTCTGCTGTTGCCTCAAAGGTTTTGAGAACTACAGTGATGTTCGATAACCATACTTTAGTATGAGCAGAGCTTACTATCAGGAGAACATAGATGAGCGACATATTTGCAAAATCTGCAGGTTCATTGACAACGATGGTGATGAGGATTGCAACGGAATGAGCGACATGAGATTTACATGAATCATGTTATGGATATTGATGGAACAGAGATTGCAACAATGTCTGTCACAGAGTGTAACAATGCTTAGACAGAAGCTATTGGGTTGTACTATTGATCTATGAAGCAAAAGGAGGCGAACAAGCTTATGCAATGAGTAATTTGCCTTGAGGGAGTGCTTACTTGGTGTTTGTCTCAATATTTTCTGTAAGCCACGTGCAGGTGCTTGATGGGATAATGAGTTTGCTGAACCATCAAGACACAATTTTCTTGAATGGAAAATGTGAAGAATTGAGGAGCCTACAAAGAAGATGATAAACTTGCGGCATGAGCTCGACTATAAGCTGGAAAAATCAGAGGTGGTTGTGTGTTTTCACTAGAAAGATAAGCTGCAGCTGAGACAAACTAATGAAAATTTGTTTGAATCATAAGAAGATCGATTTGAGGATTCCAGCTGGGTAAAAGTATGTGTCTCAAAGTGTTTATCTTGATAAACTGAAGGCTTCCAGATTTGTTGAAGACACATATTGGATATTGAGTCTGCAAGAGAGGAAGTGACCTCGTATCATGTGGTTTTGGTTGTGGTTTCTGCAACGCTTTGTTTCTCTCTGGATGCACAGGAGGTGATCACCACATTGCTCTCATATAGTGACATGTTCTTAAGCTGGTTGGAGACTAGCAAGTGTGGATATGGAGCTTGTTCATGGGACGCTTTTTATGGAATTACCGAGGGTTGGAACGTTTTCTATGACTGCTGGAGACACTGGTTTTTGACGAATCAGATTCAAGTTCAGAATGACATTGGTTTTTGACGAATCAGGTTTAGGTTCAGTATAGTAGTCCTTATTTGAACATGATTCTGGCAGATTAAAGGCAAAAGTATACAAGGTTATTTGTCTTAGAAACGTGGTTAGATGCAGCACTGAAGATATTTGAATCATTCTCAGGAAACCTGAGGGAGCAGAGACTGCATCAACATATCTAACAGAGTCTGCAACAGAAGTTAGAACACGCTCTGGAACATCGACCGATAAAAGCGCAGCAACATGAGATATGTTTAGAAAGAGCATTGTGTGTTTTTAACTTAGGTATGCACTCAAGCAGGGGGAGATGATGTTTTCGTTTTGGTCTTGTGCCTGAATCGTGAAGCTTGGTTGCAGGGAGAGTAAAGACAGATTGCTTGAGTATCAAACTAAGCTAAAAAGGGGGAGAATGAAAAAAGTGATGCATTCAGCTGTTGATGCGTTGTTTTCTGGTGATATCTAAGTCAAGCCGAAAGTAAGTTTCAAAGATATCTCATAAGTTTGAGAATATACCATTAAGAGGGAGTTCATGGATCATCAAGTTATGAGATATTAGTGTGTCTGACAGTATGCTTGAGTTCTAAAATGCAGTCATCGAGGGGGAGATTGTAAGTGTAACGCTGACTGATTTAAGAAGATGCTGATACAGGATGAGATATCAGTGATATATTCATTGAATGCTTAAGTTCTAAAACGCAGTCATCAAGAGGGAGATTGTAAGTGTATATGCTGACTGGTTTGAGAAGATACAGAAACATGATGTGCTATAATAGATGAAGATGCAATTGACTGAAGCACTTAGTGTACAAGTAGTACAGAGAGTCGTGTTCAGCAAAAGGGCTTAAGGAATCGATCTGATGGGCTGGACATTTGCTTGTAGCTGATGAGGACGAGTCTAGAAGATTCTAGAAGAGTCAAGAGCTGAGTTGGACGAAGATATTAGCAGCTATCAAGCAAGTAGGAATATTTCCTTTTCCTAGAGAAAAATAAGGAAAGAAATATTCTCTTGGAGATTTGGAGTGGTCACCAAGGGAGAAACCTTGTAGGGTTTCAAGGCGTGCCTATTGTGGATAAATAGGGCGTGGAGAGCATTGGATGTGCTCAACCCATACACAACGAAAAGATGCCTTAGCGAAAGGCTTTGGGGTCCTATGAAGATCGCAGCCGTTGAGAGTCTCTAAGATCGTGGATAGATCTAGAACTCTAAGATCGTGGATAGATCTAGAACATGGCGGTGTTGCTCCGGTGCTGCCGGATGATAGTCAATCATGCGGGGTTGATATCTATCTTCATAGCTTATCCATCTAGAAAAGAATGGTAGGCATTGTAGTGCTGGATACCATATACAATTGTAATTGTACTCTTGTTCTAGTGGATTTGATCTGGACTAGGTCCCGGGGATGTAGGAAACGAACCTCGTTAAAAAACTCTTATGTGTTATTTACATTATGCTCGTACACATGCTCATTACACACTCAAACACATGAACGTATAGACCTAGCCGCATTTTCAAACCAAAGCATCTTAACCAATACCAAACTCAAATTCAAAAGATTCAAGACATGCAACAAGTTTATAGGCAAAACAGAGGTGAGGTGAGGCAAATTCGCAAAACTATATAGCAGGAGAAGGATATGAAGGCAAAAACAATCCCACAAGGGGCACATGCAACAAAAATCAAAGAGGAAACAAGAAATGGAGAGGAATTGAGATGAAGGATTCAAGGGTTTTAGGGTTCATACCATGCTTGAATGATGATTGAACTACAGTAGCTAGAACCAAAGCAAACCAAGATATTGAACAAAAGGAATCGCAAAACTTAAGAGAGAAAGAGAGAATTTTGATTTTTTTCTTGTTGTGATGAGAGAGATGGATGATTTTTCAGAAAATTAGTATGGGAGAGATGGAGAAGGGGGTTCGATCGAGTTATGGGGAAAAGGGAGTGTTTGAGATGTGTGGTTGAGATTAAAAGGTGATTTAAAGAGGGGACAAAAGGCAAGGGGTTTTCTGAAGTGGGGGACCAAAATTAACTTGTGGGACTCACTCCCTTGACCAAGGAAACGGTTGGAAAATTTTGAATTTTGAAAACTTACCTTGGTCGAGTTGTGGAACTCGATCGAGTTGCCTTTGTTTTAAGCTCAATCGAGCTGTCGGTCAAGCTGGATCCTTTGTCACCTAAACTTAACTTATTGAAAGGTTAAAGACACAAAACTAAATAGAGATTGCAATAAAGAGTATGTACAAGGATAGTCAATAAAGAGAATGGTCTTGATCTCCCCTTGTACCTTATCTTGTACTCAATCTTCCCATTTTAAAACTTGGTGGGGAAGAAGGTCATTGTGAGCTGAGATGGCTTGGCTGAGGAAACCTGGGCTGATGGGTTCTTTCTTTTCTCTCCCACAAGTGCCTTTGAGGCTGCATCCTCCTCTTCTTTTTGAGCGCTTCCTAGTGGCTCATCAAACAAAGCTTGGAGGCTTTCCTCATCAAGTACACAAGGTGCTTGAACTAGCCTATTAGCTCGTGGTCTCTCAGAACGTGGTCTCTCAACTCTGGCCTTCTCAAGGTGTGGTTTCTCAATCCTTGGTCCTCTATCAACTCCTTTGTCCTTCGCAACCTTATCCTTCCCAACTCTTGGTTCTTTGTCAACCCTTTCCTTCACAACCTTTGGAGCTTCATGAGTCTTAGAACTGAGAGTAGTACTTTCAATTGTGGCGCAAAAGTCTGAACCTCTAGGCTGCAAGCGATAGACACCAAACTATTCACCTTGTGAAGAATCACTTCTTGTTTGTGAAAGTCTATTGAAGCGCCAACTGTGCTAAGGAATGGGGTTCCCAATAGCAGAGGTAGATCCTTCTCTTCTTCCATCTCCATGACAGTAAGATCAGTTTGGATTATGCATTCTCCAATTTTCAAGTGATAGTTCTTGAACACACCAAGAGGAGACTTAGAAGTTGCATCTCCAAACATGATTGAAGTAGTAGGGCACTGCAATGCTCCAGCAATGCCAATCTTTTCTGCCATTGTGAGTGAGATGAGGTTGATGCTTGCACCAGAATCCACCAAGGCATTGTCAAGCTCAATATGCCCAAGTGTACAAGGGAGAGTGAATTTCCCTTGATCCTTCACCTTTGGTAAGAAAGTAGGTGAGGTAAGCAGGTTGATTTGGTGAGTAGACATCTCCAGAAGCTCAGAAATCTTGTCTTTGTGAGTCAGAACATCTTGAATTAACTTCATTTTCTCAAAGGCCTCACTCATGCTTTCCATAGAAGGCAACTCAACTCCAACCTCACTTAGGTCTCTCCTGAACTTGTGAATCACTTCCTTGTGGCTTTGACTGAGTAGGCGGCCTGATGATGTATCAACTGGCTGGTAAGGATCAAGCAAAATCGGCTTGAGGACTGATGAAGTCTGACTTAGCTAGAGTTCGGCTCGATCGAGCTGCCGATCGCCGATCGAGCTTGGTCTGCGAGCTCAACTGGTGAAGTGTGCAAGGCCACAGTAGGTATTTGCACATCTGGTTGATCAATCTGGACCTCAGGATCCTCAGCAGCAACAATCTCGTCGTCATTCAGCAGCATACAAAACTCCTCCATTACTCTCTCTTGATCCTCCTCTTCATCAAGACCCTCTTGAGTGAAGATGACCTTACACTGTTCCTTGGGGTTCTGAATGGCTTTACCAGGTAGTTGTCCTTGCTTTGTAGCAGCAGCAACAGAAGAAGCATGATTCTCCAGAGAATAAACTCTTGTGTTGAGATTTTCAATCTTGGAGTTGATTTCAGCTAATTTCTTGCTTGTGTCCACTACACCATCAGCTTGCTGATGATAGGATTTTACGTGGGTGTGATATGATATGAATGAAGGTGATAAGATATGAGGTGGAATGCAAACAGGGGTGAATAAAGATGAAATGGTGCAATCACAATCAATCAATTCCTCTTAACCATCATAGTCATTGAAGTATAAGAGGTTATCAATCCAAAATGGGAAACTTGTCACTCTATGAGAATATGAAACAACCAGAAGTCAAGCAAGCAGTTATAGATTTGAAGTAACACTAACAACCTAAAAAAATGAAAAGCAGTGCAATAAAAGTAAACAAAGCAGTGAAGTGTCAGCTCGACCAAGAGCTCGAGTCGAGTCAGACAAAGTACCAGCTCGATCGAGTTTAGGGACGAGTTGAGACAAACAAAGCTAAAGGTGACGACTTTAACAAGATAAGAGAGAATTAGGGTTCAAGACAGGGTTTTGCAATCAAAGGAATCTACACTTAATCAATCTAGCTCTTAAAACTCCTTGTATCAAGGCTTCTCTTGATATTGGGCTTCTCAATGCCTAGCCAACCCTTTCCCAAGGTGGAGGCTATCAACCAAGGAATGATCTCAGAAACAGGGGGTTAGCCAGTGAGAATCAAACCTTGGAGGCTATAGGATCATTGCCCAAACTAATCCATCCAACCCCTTAGACCTCTATTGTCTAGAGCAAGAGATATTGGAGCTCTTAGTGGATCTTTTCCAGCGAATGCCATCACTTTCGTGTGGGGAGTCGCCTAAGGACTTACAAGCCAGGGGTAGTGGTCATGTAGCCTTAAGATCTATCCAAAAGAGAGAGAATCTAGATTAAGACCATAAGCTAGAAGGATTAAGCATATGAAACCTCTAATCTATCCCATCTCAAACCCTAATGGGTAACTACTCACTACACATGAATGTAAACACAAGCAAATGCAATAAAAGAGACATCATAAGAAAGAGGAGATGAAATTAAACAACTTTTATTGAAATAAGCAAGTGCAAATACAAAGAGAGATTATCCAGGATCTAGGATTCAAGAAGCAAGAGCTTCAAGAACACAAAGATGGGATTAGATCTCTAAAAAGTAAAAGACAATAAATTAAAAGAAACTAAAACAAAATAATCTAAAGCTTGGTGGTTTTTTCGTGGCTTAGAGCCTTTAAATACAAGAGGATTAGGTTTAGGGTCAAAGGAAAGTCAAGGGGGAAGCAACATTTTTCGGGTTTGACTTTGACTTCTCAGCTCGATCGAGTTGAAGCTTGGCCGGTCGAGTTGAGGAACTCGACCGGTTGGTCGAGTAGACGGTCGAGCTGGTCTTCAAGATGGCTTCTCCCTTCTTCCTTTGCGTATCCAGTTGAGCTGCTTCCATGTGCCAAGTCCCTCCATGCTCCTTATGTCCCATATGCTCCAGAATGCTCCAAAAGACCTATTTCAAAGGACCAAACATGCATATGTATGCAAATGCAACCTAAAACTAACATGAATGCATAAGAAGAGAAAAGGAACAAGATATGATGCAAATGGAAGCTAAAACTATGCAAAAGATGCATAAAAGATGTGCTAAAACTATGTAAAATGCAAGTACATCAACACCCCCAAACTTGAACTTTGCTTGCCCTCAAGCAAACAAATAGAACAAGAAAGAGATGAGGTTTGAAAACAGCTGATTCAACACTTAAAAACATGTCCTCAAAAGCGATTTGCTAAATGTCCAACTTAGAGATTCTAGAATGCAACAAGGTGAGAGATATTCATTAAGATTTAACCATGCTTATCAACATCAATCCCACTTCACAGTCACTCAAACAATGCATTCAAATCAGCAAATCCCTTTAACATTCATTAAGCAAAAACAGTGAACCAAAAACATGCAAGATCAATCAACTCATTTGGTTTCAAGGGTTTATGGGTTAAGAGACAAAGAGGGTCTCTTTTGTATGGTGGTTTAGTAACAGGGATCTCTCAAGAAAGTGGCTTTGCTTTGGCAGAAGGCTAAGTGTTAGAACCAAAGATGATGCAAGAACAGCAGCTCGAGCCGCCTAATCCTAACTCGATCGAGTTCAACACTTAGAGCTTTTTAGAACAAAATCCTAACTACCCTTTTTGGCATTTCGCCTTTGAAACTGAGGAGCTTTGCTCACTTTTCTTTTAAGAACTTCCTAGGGAGAGGCTTCTTGAGGTAACATCTAGCGGTTTGGGATTTTCTAAACACTTAGGGAACTTTTCTTTCCTTTTTGGACACTTGAGGCTTTGCCTTCTTTTCATTCTACTTAGAACCCTTTTTACTTTCCTTTTTTAACTTCCCAAACCTTTACTAGACCCTTTTTAAACACTGCCAACTCCCTGGACTTAACCAAACTCTTTTTCCTTTGGGTTTTTCCCAACTTTTACCACTTTTCTGGTTTTTACACCCAACTCGATCGAGCTCGAGTTGGCACCCCCAAACTTAGCCTGAAAACAATCCCAAGAGAACTAGACAACTAGAACTACTGCCCCTGCCGGTTTAAACACAACACCTTATGCTAAGCAAAGCCAAGAAAGGTTCTCACATTCGCACAAGAGATAATATGGGGTTTGAAATGAAAAGGCTTAGGTTTAAGGTGTGGTAACTGTCTCAAAGATAGAGATCAGCTATCTGGACAAGCAAAAGGGATATGAAAATAGGTAAAGAATGTCCAGATATGTATGTGGTAGCCATGAGTTGAAATCAAATGCAAGCATTGGTAATTAAAGATCAAGTTATGGTTCAAATAGATAGGGAAATGCATCAAATCACAGCAATGGTTGAATGAGATGTGCATGCAGTGATATGATCAAGATAAACATGGTTCTTGCTGCTCAATCAATCTCACCCTAATGCACAAAAGAATCTAAAAACAGGGCACTCAAGAAATCGCAAAAGATGGACAAGTTTTCAAAGTCAAATCAACAATGCAAGTGAAAAATGCAATCCTAAACAAGTCTAACAAATATGAATGCAAAAAGATGAAAATATTTTTGGATTTTTTGAAAATTTTATGATTTTTTTGGTTTTTCTATGCAAAAGATAAATGAAAAACTAAGAACAAAGAAAACAAGGTTAAATCATCTCTTGAACCCTCCCCCAAACTTAAATCACACAGTCCCTTGTGTGAGAAAAATTTAGTGAAAGATTCAAGAGGGCAAAACCAAGAAAAAACAAGAACAAATGCAAGAAAATATGAAATGGTATATACAAGGGTTGGTGTTTGGATACCTCAGTGTCCCCCAAAGAACTGGGAGACTAGGTCGTGGTCTGGAGATGGGAGACGGCCATCAGGAGCACTCCATGCAACTGGGGTTGCCTCTTGTGGCTCACTCGATCGAGCTTGCGGCTCCTCTTCCTCCTCTTCTTCATCTCAAATGTGTGTGGCTCCCTTGGCCTTGGAGGAGCTGTGCTTGCTCGAAGCTGTTGTAGGGGTCCATCTCTGGGAGAAGTCCTGGTACTGGTTGATCGTACTCGAATCCAGGATCTCAAACAGGGGCTCCTCCAGGTCAACTCGACCCTCAGCTCGATCGAGTTGAGTTTCCTCTGTTTGGACTCGATCGAGTCCGGTGGTCGAGCTGGAGCGTCTGGCCTTGGAAGTCTTCCTCCTTCTCTGCGTGTTGTCTTCTCCTTCCCTTGGCTCGAAAGAAGAGGCTCTGTGAGGCTCTTGGGCAGGGAGCCTCCTTGGAGTGGTGAGGAGTGACCTACTCCTAGGGAAAGTGGGGGCCTTGGACTTCTTCTTCTTGCTTGAAGAACCAGAAACCTTCTTCTCCAAACTTTTGATCTTGCTCACCATCTTGTCCATGGACTTTTGCATCTTCTCAATGGCTTTCCCTTGCCATTTGTTGAACTTTTGGAGAAGTCCAATCCTCTTGTGGCAGCCACAACAGAGGGGTTCATCCTTGGAGCCTCATACTCCTCAAAGTAATAGCACTCAGGCTCACCCAAATCAGCGCTTCCTGCACTCATCTTCAGCTTGATCTCAGCTCGATCCTCAGCTCGATCGAGCTCGATCTCTTCTTCTTGCAAATCCGCTTCATGCCCAACTAAAGTGTACACAGGGGGTCTGAAGTCAATGTTCTACCTCCTAGACCGTGGTGAGCTCAGGGTTGGGCAGAAGAAGCTTGGAGGGTCCAGCCAATGGATGGGTGAACTTGAATTGGAATCTCCCATCCAACTCCTTGTGCTCAATGAGGAGGTTGGTCTTGCAAAACTTGATGTCCATCCAACCTGGTGGAGTAGACCTTCTCTTGTCCACTTGAACTCCTGCTGCACAAAGAATTGGTGTGATCACCCCTCCAACACTAAGCTTTCTTCCTCTTTGGTGCCTAGTGTTGTAAGCTGTGACCTTGTAGGCTTGGAGCTGCTCAAGGAGAGGCATGAGTTCCCTGCATGTGCCCTATCTCCTCTGATCTTCTTCCCATCCTTGTGCGTGAGATGATAGGCTTGATTCCCATGTCAAGGAGCTTCACTTCTCCCTCATTGATTGTTCCAGTGGCTTTCCTTGCAAAGAAGGTGTTTGCAAGAGCCTTGTGGACATATCTAAGCACAGGACTTCTGATCTGGGCAGCCTTGGACCTTGAGGAAGAGTACCTCTTCAGCCCATACCTTTGGAGTTCTTTTCCTTGATGTTCCATGGTTACCTTCTCCATAGGTGAACCCAAACAGTATCTCAAGCTGCCTAAAGGTCACCATCTTCTTCTCTCCCTTTGCCAAGAAAGTTATGTACCCCCAGCCTTGGTCCAACTCAGCTCGATCGAGCTCATCAAACTCGTGATGCTTCATCGACGCCAAAAACTCACAAGTCAACTCCTTGTAAGACTCCATGCGGTGAGAGAAGAACTTCCCCAATTGCATGTTCTTGAGCACCAACTCCACATCCTCAAAGATCCAAGGTCCTTCATGTGTCATCATGTGGGTACTTGGTCTCCACAAAGTCCATGGAGAAGAGAGCATTGTAGTGCTCTTGGTACATGGGGAGCTCATCCTCCTCTTGCTCTGCCTCAGCCTCTTCCATTGGCTCATCTTGGTTCCCCTCTTGTCATCTTCATCAACCAATTGGTTCACCTCTTCTCCTTCCTCTTCACTCTCAGTCCTCACTCCTTCTTCATTTGGAGAACCATTTCCCTCCTCTTGAACAAGGTTCACTCCAATCTCAAACTCCCCTTGCTCACTCTCACTACTAATGGGTCATTCCTCTTCTTGGTTCTCCTTTCTTCCCTCAATCTCTCACTCTCAGACTGTTCCTCAGAGTAGACATATCCTCTGCATCAGACTCTTCCATCCTCTGATCATCTCTCCAAATCGGCTTGCATCTTAAGCCTTTCTCTCTTGCATTGCTTGATTCACCCTCAACCATTCTCCCTGTGAAGCGCGGCTTCCCTCACTGTTTGTCATCCTTGTTACTCTGTTTCTTCACTAAAGTACCTGAAATGCATCAAAGATTACAAAGAATTAGAGTTGTAATGATCGGTTTGGTCAACTCGACACTCAGCTCGATCGAGTCAAAAAACTCGAGTGACAAACTCGATCGAGTTGGGTGAAAACAGAGTATAACCAAACCTAATTCAAGTATTAAGAGCTGGAAAGGATGCTAATCAATCAAATTGAACCAAGAACAACTAGTAAATGGAACAATGAGCAACTATAGAGAAGCACTAAGCATCTTAACCAAACCAAACTCAAATTCAATTTCAAGCACATGCAACAAGTTTAAAGGCAAAACAGAGGTGAGGTGAAACAAACTAACAAGATTATACAGCAGAGGCGAAATATGAGGGCAATTACTCAAGAACAAGTCCACAAGGGACACATGCAATCAAAAATCAAAGAGAAACAAGCAATAATGGAAATCGAGATGGGAATCAAGGGTTTTAGGGTTCATACCTTGCTTGAATGATGAATTGAAGAACAGTAAACTAGAACCCAAAGAAACAAGTGAAGACAAGAGAAATCGCAAAAACTTAAGAGAGAAAGAGAGGAAATTCGAAATTTCTTGTGGTGAAGAGAGAGATGGATGATTTCAGAAATTTTAAGATTGTGGGAGAGAGAGAGGTGGATTCGATCGAGTTATGGGGAAGAGGGGTGTTTGAGATGTGTGGTTGAGATTAAAAGATGAAATAAAGAGGGAACAAGAAGCTAGGGATTCTCTGATCAAATTAGGGTAGTGGGGGACCAAAATCAGCTTGTGGGACCCACTCCCTTGACCAAGAAAACGGTTATGAATTTGAAATTCAAAAACTTACCTCGGTCGAGTTGTGTAGCTCGATCGAGTTGCCCTGGTTTCTAGCTCGATCGAGCTATCGGTCGAGCTGGCTCCTTTGACACCTAAACTTAACTTATTCAAAGGTTAAAAACATAAAGATAGATAGAAATTGCATAAATAGAGTATGTACAAGGATAAACATGGGACTTCCTCCCAAGTGAGCTTGTTTAAGGTCCCATAGCTTGACCTTTACCTTCTTAGGCATTGGTTGAGCTAGTCCCACCATCAAGGGTGATAGTGAGGACTTGAGACAGAAGCTCCTTTAGCTTGGTTGGGTCCCTGGACTGTTCTGAAGTCACCAAGGCCTTGGCTCTAGAGAATGGCCTTGATCTCCCCTTGTACCTTATCTTGTACTCAATCTTCCCATTTTCAAACTTGGTGGGGAACAAAGTCATTGTGAGCTGAGATGGCTTGACTGAAGGGGCCTGAGCTGGTGGATCCTTTTCTTTTATCCCTGGTCTTGCCTTAGAGGCTGCATCCTCCCCTTCTTTTAGAGCCCTTCCTAGTGGCTCATCAAACAAAGCTTGAAGGCTCTCTTCATCAAGCACACAAGGGGCTTGAACAAGTCTCTCAGCTCTTGGCCTATCAGATCGTGGTTTCTCAACTCTAGCCCTCTCAAGACGTGGCTTCTCAATCCTTGGTCCTCTCTCATCCTTATCCTTCCCAACTCTTGGTTCCTTGTCAACCCTTTCCTTCACAACCTTTGTAGCTCCATGACTCTTAGAACTGAGAGTGGTACTGTCAATTGTGGCACAAAAGTCTGAACCTCTAGGCTGCAAGCGATATGACACCAAACTATTCACCTTGTGAAGGATCACTTCTTGCTTGTGAAAGTCTATTGAAGCGCCAACTGTACTAAGGAAAGGGGTTCCCAATAACAAAGGCAAATCCTTCTCTTCTTCCATTTCCATCACAGTGAGATCAGTTTGGATGATGCATTCTCCAATTTTCAAGTGATAGTTCTTGAACACTCCAAGAGGAGACTTAGAAGTTGCATCTCCAAACATGATTGAAGTAGTAGGGCGCTGCAAGGCTCCAGCAATGCCTAGCTTCTCTGCCATGGAGAGAGAGATCAGATTGATGCTTGCTCCAGAATCCACTAAGGCATTGTCAATCTCAAGATGCCCAAGTGTGCAAGGGAGAGTGAATTTCCCTTGATCCTTGACCTTTGGTAGGAAGGTGGGTGAAGTAAGCAGGTTGAACTGATGAGTAGACTCTTGTAGGACCTCTGAAACTTTATCACTGTTGGCAATAACATCCTTGACCATTTGCATTTGATCAAATGCCTCACTCATGCTATCCATAGTGTTAGAATATAGAAACTAGCTATATCGTCATTCATTACATTCCCATATATGTAAAGATAGACTTGGAGCCTACTCCTCTTGTACCTATATTAGGATCCCTTTGTCAATAGAATCACTCACGGAGTTATTCACAATCTTACATGGTATCAGAGCTTAGACTCTCTTAAACCTAAATCTCCTCTCTTTTCTTTTACTCGCCGCCCACCCCTATCTCTCTCATCTCTTCTTCTCTCTCGTTCATCTCTTCTTCTTCCTCTCATTTCACTATGGCTACAACTCCAGCCAACGACAAACCTTTTGGCATCAGCCAAATCAAAGCGTACGTTCCCATCACTCTCGACATGACCAAGCTCAACTACGACATGTGGCGTGAGCTCTTTGAAACTCACTGCAACAGTTTCGGAGTTCTCGGTCACATCGACGGATCCTCTGCTCCCACCGCTGAAACCGAAAAATCCTGGAAAGAACACAATGATTTGGTCAAGATGTGGATCTATGGAACCATATCTGACTCAATCCTTGAAACCGTTCTCAAGCCAAAGTGCACAGCCAACAGCCTCTGGCTTGCGATTGAGAATCTCTTCCGTGACAACAAAGAAGCTCGTGCAATGCAACTCGAGAACGATCTGCGTACCACGGTGATCGGAGACATATCTATCCACGACTATTGCAAGAAGCTCAAGTCCATCTCCGACCTCCTGACCAACGTCGACTCTCCAATCACCGACAAGGTTCTTGTGATGCATCTTCTCAATGGACTATCTGAGAAGTATGATAGCATCATCAATGTTATCAAGCACAAATCTCCGTTTCCCGGATTCATTGAGGCGCGATCGATGCTCCAACTTGAAGAAGATCGTCTTGCGAAGCACCACAAGCCGAATCCCACCAATCACCTCACATCTTCTGCCCCTGCCGTTCTCTACACGACGTCCGACAACAGATCTCGTGACGGAAACGGCTCCACCAACAACAACGGCGGCAACTATGGCGGAAACTACCGTGGTAACGGAAACTACAGGGGTCGTGGTCGTGGACGTAACAACAGAGGACGCGGTGGTTGATACAACTCGTGGCCCTCATCGCCGTACATGCCGATGTGGCCGTCATCATTTGGTCGTCCACAATGGCCAATGATGCAGTATCCTTTCACACCAGCTTTCTCGCCAGGTTACAACCAGATGGGCTCGCATCATGTGAATCAACCTGGGCTACTTGGTCCCGGCCCATCTAGGCCCACCAATGAAGCTCACTTGATTAATGGTGGCTCGACAACCTCTACGCCGTCACTCAACAATCTGTTGCCGGCTCAGATCACCCATGCTTTCAATACAATGGCGCTTCAAGACCCCAATGACGCCCCATGGTACATGGATACGGGAGACACCAACCACATCGCATCAAACGCAGGTAACCTACGATTTACGTCTAATTCAAGCTCAATTCCTACTATCACTGTTGGTAACGGATCCTTAGCTAGAGTAACGACGCTTGGTCAAGGAACTATCTCTTCTCCTTCTCGCTCTTTTACACTTAATAATGTCCTCGTCTGCCCATCTATCATAAAAAATCTTGTCTCGGTGAGAAAATTTGCAACTGATAACTCTTGTTCTATTGAATTTGACCCTTTTGGTTTTTGTGTTAAGGATCTGTTTACTCGGACCAAGCTTCTCCGATGTAACAGCCCTGGTCCGCTATACTCCGTCCAACCGTCTCTCTCTGCTCCATCAAATCTTGCTCTCGCTGCTTCTCCTACGGATGGTTCCCTTTGGCATCGCAGATTAGGCCACCCAAGCAATCAATCTTTATTTCGTGTTTTATCTTCTGTTTCTCCGTTATGCAATAAAACTTTTCTGAATACTTTATGTCCAGCTTGTCAACTTGGAAAACATGTTCGACAACCTTTTTCTAAATCTAATACTTTGGTTTTTCACCCTTTTGAAATTGTCCATTCCGATATATGGACATCACCAATTAAAAGCGTTAGTGGCATCAAATACTATCTTCTCTTCCTTGATCAATTTTCTCATTTTATTTGGGTTTATCCTCTTCACCGCAAAAGTGAAACTTTGTCCAAATTCATTCACTTTTCTACCTATGTGCAGACTCAATTTAATTGCAAGATAAAATCTCTGCAATGTGACAACGGGGGAGAGTATGTTAACCGTGATTTCCAAGCTCACATGGACAAGATCGGCGCCACATTCCGCTTCTCATGCCCATACACGTCTCAACAAAACGGCAGAGCCGAACGCATGCTCTGCACAGTCAACAACCTCATTCGCACCTTGCTCATTCAGGCTCACATGCCGCACTCATTTTGGGTCGAAGCTCTTCACACGGCGGTCCATCTCATCAACATCATGCCTTCCTCCGCCATTGACAATCAAGTTCCTTACACAAAGCTATTCCAAAAAGAAGCTCGCTGCCAGCACCTCCGAACGTTTGGTTGTCTCTGCTATCCCAACCTCTTGCCGATGACACCACACAAACTCGCTCCTCGCTCAACTCCATGTGTGCTTCTCGGTTATCCGACGGATCATCGCGGTGATCGCTGTCTTGAGATATCAACACAGCGCATCATACTCTCCCGTCACGTCACTTTTGATGAGTCCGTTTTTCCCTTTGGTGCCAAACACATCGTCTCAGAAACTGCTCCGCTCGTGCCTCCACTTTCAATTCTTCGTTTACCTGCTCCTCCCAGCCCACTCAATGCTCCACAGGTAACGTCTCCATCTCCTCCTCCTTTTCCACCAGCTCCTCCATCTCCCCCTCCATCTCCTCCTTCTCCACCTCCTCCTCCATCTCCTCCCACTCAATCTCCTTCGCCCTCTCCTCCTCCACCTGCTCCTCCTGTTCATCATGCTATGAACACTCGCAGCAAAAGTGGTATCATCAAACCACGACTTCCATTGTGTCTTCACACCGACGTCACAATTTCTCCCTTACCATCGTCGCATATTCAAGCAGCTAAGGATAGTCATTGGAATAATGCCATGACGGAGGAATATGATGCTCAAATTAAACGTAAATCGTGGGTACTTGTCCCACGGCCAGTTGCTACTAATATCATTTCTTCTTTATGGCTTTACAGGCACAAGTTTCGCGCAGACGGCTCCTTATATCGTTACAAAGCACGACTTGTAGCGAATGGAAAATCACAGCAACCCGGCATCGATTGTGACGAAACATTCAGCCCCGTGGTTAAGCCAGCAACGATCCACACAGTCCTCACCGTAGCTGTCACACGCGACTGGCCTCTTCACCAACTTGACGTCAAGAATGATTTCTTGTATGGAGACCTTGAGGAGACGGTGTACATGCATCAACCACCCGGGTTCGTCGACAAAACGAAACCCAATCATGTTTGTCTGCTTAAACGTTCTATCTATGGCTTGAAGCAGGCTCCACGGGCATGGTACAACCGCTTTGCCACATACGCACGGAAGATCGGGTTTCATCAAAGCAAGCTTGACCAATCTCTCTTCATCATGTCTCATGGCAGTGACATCGCATACCTGCTACTTTATGTCGACGACATCGTCCTTACAGCATCAGCTCCCTCTCTCCTCACGAAAATCATTGCCAACCTCAACACCGAGTTTGAAATGTCTGATCTCGGTCCAGTCCATCACTTTCTTGGCATCTCCGTCACTCGCGACTCCAATGGGATCGTCATGACACAGCATAACTACGCCGCAGACATTCTTCATCGTGCTGACATGACATGATGCAATCCTTGCCTCACTCCAGATGATACCAACTCGAAACTCACCGCTGAGTCTGGTAAACCCGTTGCTGACCCATCTCTCTATCGCAGCCTTGCCGGAGCCTTACAATACCTGACGTTCACTCGCCCGGACATCTCGTATGCGGTTCAACAAATCTGTTTGTTCATGCACGATCCTCGTGAACCACACTTCAATGCATTGAAGCGGATTCTCCGGTATGTCAAAGGTACCATATCTCATGGCCTCCACATCTACCGTTCCTCTCCTCTCACGCTTACGGCATACTCAGACGATGATTGGGCTGGCTGTCCCAACTCGCGACGCTCTACTTCCGGATATTGTGTCTTCCTCGGTGACAATCTTCTGTCATGGTCATCCAAACGCCAAGCCACAGTCTCACGCTCAAGTGCAGAGGCCGAGTATCGCGGCGTCGCTAACGCTGTTGCCGAAACTACGTTCCTCCGCAATCTCCTTCTTGAAATGAAGATCACCATCCCTCGTGCCACGATCGTCTATTGTGACAATGTCAGTGCCATCTACCTCTCTACCAATCCAGTTCAACATCAGCGCACCAAACATGTCGAGATAGACATCCATTTTGTTCGAGAAAGAGTTGCCATTGGTGAAGTCAAAGTTCTCCATGTTCCATCAGCACGACAAATTGCAGACGTCTTCACCAAAGGCCTCCCGTCGGCCCTGTTTCAGGAGTTCAAGAACAGTCTCAGCATCCGTTCTCCTCGACGCTAAGACTGCGGGGGAGTGTTAGAATATAGAAACTAGATATATCGTCATTCATTACATTCCCATATATGTAAAGATAGACTTGGAGCCTACTCCTCTTGTACCTATATTAGGATCCCTTTGTCAATAGAATCACTCACGGAGTTATTCACAATCTTACA